TCTTCCTGGTCTCCAAAGAGGAAGCCTTAGGTTAGTGTTTGCCAGTCCCAGTTAATCTCTACCCTGACCCAAGAGAAAGCAGGCTTTACAAGGCGCTCAGTCCCCATCAGGGACTGGAGGAGGTAAAAGGCCACCTCCCTTCCCCAGTTTGGCTCTGCCCTCCGCAGACCCCTTCAGCGAGCCATAGCCACATGGTCACAGGGCCAGTGGCTCCTGTCCTGCAGTCCCAGGTGAAACTACCCTTCCGTTCTAGCCCTAGGGCATCCCGGCACAAGATCCAACACTCACCATAGTAAAATGGGTCTGTTTCTTCAGGAACTGTGGGAAAGAAGACAGAGAAGAGGGAAAAACATGTTTCAACACTGGCTTTGTGGGCATCTTCGAGGACCAGGATGGTCCAAGCGCTTCTTTAGGGAACTTGGAGTAGGAAGCCCCTCGATGGTGGCGGATACTGCCTCTCAGAAGAGCACACGGGATGCTCTGCAGACCTGTTCACTCAGCTGTCAGCGCCATGTCGTGTGCGACCCACCCAGCTGTAAAGGCAGTCCTGGTCCTACACCCTCGGAATCATTCTATGGAACACACGCATGTGCACGCACACACACACATGAACACATGCACACACATGAACACATGCACATGCATGCACACACATGAACATATGCACATGCATGCACACACATGAACACATGCACATGCATGCACACACATGAACACATGCCCGTGCGTGCACACACATGAACACATGCACATGCATGCACACATGCACATGCATGCACACATGCATGCATACACATGAACACATGCATGCACACACATGATCACATGCCCATGCATGCACACACATGAACACATGCACACACACATGAACACACGCACACACACACGCTGGACCTATCAGAGTCCAGTCTCACAAGAGGACCACCAGATGGATGCATTGACTTCCCTTGAAGACTCCTTCAACCCCCCCAGTCATCCTAGGGCCCCTGAGGTCTCAAGGCTGTCCCCTGCAGGGGTTCTCCCATCCGCTTAGGCTGTCACCAAATTCAGTATGGGCAACCTGCGCTGACTCATATTCTTGTCACCTAAGACACCAGCAGTTTTGAGAGCTGGGATCAGTCTTGTGGCAACTCTGTTCTCCTCTGTCAATGAATCTTCTCTTCCATGTGAAACAGGGGGCCCTTAGGTTCCTGAGGTCGGGTCCCTCCAACCTCAGAAAGTACATGTGCGTGTGTGTGCGCATGCATGCATGCGTGTGCCTGTGCGTGTGTGCATGCATGCGTGTGTGTGCACGTGTGCCTGTGCATGTATGCATGTGTGCAGCCTTTTCCTGTCTCTCACCTTTGCCCTAAACCCCTTCCGGCAGTCTAGGAGAGGTAGACATAGTGGCCCATACCTATACCCTAGCACTTGGAAGAATGAGACAGGATAGAGACATCAAGGACAGCCTGGGCTACAAGGAGACCCCCCCCCTTTGGCCCAGGTAGAGAGGGAGCTCAGAACATCCTTCCAGTGTAAGATGTCCACCCTGGCCAGTCATGGTAGCATATGCCTTTAATCCTAGTACTAGGGAGGCAGAGAAAGGTGGATCTCTGAAAATTTGAGGCCAGCCTGGTCAACAGAGTGAGTTCCAGACCAGCTAGGACCACATAGTGAGACCCTGTCTTTAAAAATTAAATTAAATTAAAAGATGTCGAGCCAGGCAATGGTGACGCACACCTTTAATCCCAGCACTCGGAGGGCAGAGGCAGGAGGGTTTCTGTGAGTTCGAGACCAGCCTGGTCTACAAGAGCGAGTTCCAGGACAGCCTCTGAAGCCACAAGAAACCCTGTCTCGAAAAACCAAAACCAAAACAAAACAAAGATGTGTACCCTGTAGCTGTCAACATTCTGCCCTGTCTACAGCAGAATTCTGCATCTTGTGCCAATAGGAAGAGGGGGGGTGGGTGATGACATTAATGTTTCTGGGTTTCACGGGAACTGGGTGGGGCTGTGTCCTTAGAGCTGACTGCTAAGTACTCCGGATTGTGCCTCTGTTGTCTTTGGGCTGTGGGGACCTCCTGCCTCCATCCACATATCCCCAGGTTAGCAATGCGTTCTAGTGGTCTTCCTCCACTGAGACTTTTGGTACCATTTGTTACCAACACTACCTGGAGCCTAAACTGACTGATGCAGCTGGCTTTGAGGCAAGGCCATACACGGTGTGCGTTTATCTGGTGTGTCCTTTCCAGGTCTCTGTCCAGATCCTAAACAAATCCTGGGTCAATGGAATTGTTGTTTGGGGGAATGTGAGTTAGTTTTGCTTTTTGGAAAGGCTCTCAATATGTAGCCCAGGCTGGTCTTACGCTCATATCCCTCCTGCCTCTCCACCTTCAGAGTGCTGAGATTTCTATCATGCACCACCGCACCTGCCTTCTGTCTTGTAGGGCAAGAGAAGGAAAAAGATACTAATTTTCTGTTTGTGGTGGTGATAAAAAGAGATAAAGCCCACTATTTTTTTTAAAAGAGGTTAATCCTCTGAAGAAAAAAAATAAACAGCAATAAAAGGAACATTCTAATAGGGCAACACTCAGCCGCATACGGCTAAGACCCCGTGTCTGAGAGTCACCTGGCCTGCATTTTAGCTTCACCAGCAGAAGGTGGGCAAATTGGTCTCTGCAGTTCACTCTGGTTTTCAAGAAGTTTTCTGGAATGAATGAGTGAATGAATGAATGAATGAATGAATGAACGAGAGAGCCTCCGAGTCGAGTTTGCAGGTGATTGTATCAGAGGCAGAGGCACTGGCCCTGGTTTCCCCATACATCCCTTCTCCTGATTGCCTGTTCCAGCATCTTCTCGGACTCCTCCAAAGATCCCTGCAGGTCCCTGACCACCGCAGTCCCCGCTTTCAGGGTGTGGCTGGGTTAAGGGTGGAGCCAGGAGGCAGGAGAAGCAATGTACTCCACTCTTGGCCAGTTGCCAGGGAGAGATCAGGAAGGAGGTGGTTGCTATGGTAACCAGGGCATCTTTCGAGGTGATTGGGGTCCTGGCACCCCAGGTTGGGTGGGGTCCTATGTGAGGTTTGGGGGTTGGGCCAATCTTATCTCCCCTCTTTGCTCCCTGCAGACCTGGCTTCTGGCCAAGCTGAATGTCTTCGCTCCCCAAAATAGGGACCTAGACCTAGGTATGCCCACATCCCCGTCCTTCTCACCCCTGATTCTCCCCCCCCCCCGCCCCTGGTTCTCTGGCAAGAACCGCATCTCCCTTCTCTCCCACAATTCATTAATTTGTTTCCGTAAGCGGCTGCGACGAATGCACAGGAGCTTTTCCTCTCCCGGGGTTTCCCAAGTCCTGCGGTCCCCTGTGACAGGGAAAAGGGGATTGGCGAGGCATCTGCCCTCCCACCTCTACCCGTCTGCTGCCATCGATCCTGCTAACCGCCACCTCTGCGAAGAAGAAGCCCTGGGCTCCCGCCAGATCTGCTGGTTCAGCCCTGCCCCCTCTCCCTGGGGTGGCTCCCAGCCTCTGCAGCCCCTCACCCCCCACCCCACCCCCGCCCTGCCTGGGATTCTGCAGCTAGGGCTCAGCACAGCAGCCCCCCCCCCCCCGCCGCGCCTGCAGGGAAAGAGGAAAGGGAAGGTGCCCTGAGAGTGGAAATTGGGGTTCCCTCCACCGCTAGGGGCTCCGCAGAACCCCCCAAGTCCTCTGCCTTGCCCCCTCCCCTTTCAAGCATCCTACCCCTAGCTCCTCTGCAGAGGACCAGGTAACCGAGGTCCAGGAAGCCACGGAGCCAGAGAGTGTTTAAGCGGGTGCGCGCAGATCTGGGTTAATGGGTGCTAGTATAAACCCAGTGCATCTGGATGCGGGGAGGCAAGCGTGTCTCCGAGATGAAGCCATAAGTACGTGCGGACTGGGAAGAGTGGTCCCCGACATTCCATCACCACCACGCGGGTTCACTGCAGTGCCGCAGCCCCACCCGTTCCCCCTTCCTCCGTAATTGTCTGTGTTCCTCTATCTCAGCGTCTATCCGTCTGAGGATCGGCTCTCTTCCTTCCATCTCTGGCTCTCTCTCTCCTCATTGCATCTCCCAGAGACTGTCACCTGGGTTTTTCGTGCCTCCGGCTCTCCCGTTTCTCTCGGTCTCTGTCTCTTCCGGGCTTTCTTAGTCCATCTCTTGTGACGCCACCACCACCACCCTCTTCTCCCTTCAACAGTCCCTCTGGTCCTTTAGCATCTGCCTGTCAGGGAGTTCAGTAAATACCCACACTATACTAGGCAGTCATGGGAATAATGACCCCTTTCACTGGCCCACCTCAGGCTGCTGAAGTCTTCCAGAACCTCTGTGGCTGCAGATCCATCAGCTCCCATCCTTAGTCCCCCCCCCATCTCTTCCCGTTAGCTTCCACTGCTGTGCTGGACCAGGCACCCGGTTGCCATAGCAACCTGTCCGAGCATCCTTTCTCTTGGGACTGTCACTCTAATCATAGGTCCAGTACGGGGGTGCCCAAGAAACCCCAAGAGGCGTCAGGGAATGTGCTCCTGGGTTTTCCGCCCACGATAGGGATAGACATTTCCCCTTCCTCTTCCTCTCAGTATGGGATTCTCCCCGCATCCTGTCCCCTAAGCTCTTAGATCCAGGGTCCCCCCCCACCCCGATGCCAGCACCCATTCCCCCAGGTGACGCTCACCGTTTGTGGGGCTCTGGGTTGGGGTGGCCATGCTGAGCCGGAGCAGGGGGCTGCTGAATGCTGATGCAGCGAAGGTGCGGCTGCAGCAGCAGCTGGAAGCAGGACAGACTGATGTGGGGGGGTAAGGTGGGGGAGCCCTGGTAGGGCGGGGGGGGCCTGTAGCCAATGGGGGCCCGGAGAGCCCGCCCTCGTCCAGGCCATCCCTCCCCGCCCCCGCCCCCGCCCACTGCTGATGTCCCCGCCCCTTCCCCAAGGGTGGGGGCGCCCCCTGCCGGGGCCAAGGGGGGGGCTCCCGGGTTTTCGCACAAGAGGCACTGAGATCAACCAGGCGCTGTCAAGAGGGAAAACCGAGTTTTATTGGAGGTCTTTAGCAGTAAGGGGTGTCCGAGAGGCAGGGCTGAGGCAAGGGACGCTGGAGGTGGCCACAGGCAGCTGGGTGAGGAGGGGCGGCAGGTGTCAAGGGGGTCCTGTGGAGGTGAAGGGGGTGAGTGGCAAGCAGAGACCCCCACCCAAGCTCTCCTCGCCACACTCCCACCCTGGGACTGTGCCCCTCCGCCTCCCTTCCTCCCAACTTCAGCCCATCAGCGGCAGGACCTGGCTGAGTTTCCTGGAGCCAGGTGGAGGTTCTACCGCCTGCGGGTGGACAGACCTGAGGGGGACACAGAGAGTTCAGGGGCGGGGATGGGTGGGGCGGGGGGAGTATCAGCAACCCGGGTAACCCCTCGCCAAACCCATCGTGCTGCGCGCCCAGGAAGAGGGGCTTAAGGAAACAGCAGCCCCCCCTCCCCAAAACCCTCCCGCAGTGTCCACGAACTCACGGCGGATGGAGCTGCGGAAAGTTCCCTCCTCTTCATCAGGTTCCCCAGTTCTGGGAAGGGACAAACAGAGGGATTCGGGTGAGCGAGGAGGAGAGGGAGCCGCTTCTGAGAAGCCCCCTAGTGCAGGTCTTATTTCCCGAACGGCGCCGGGGACTTGGATACAGGCACGGTCCATCCAAAACGAGGCGCGCCCTGCTGCTATTTCGGGGTGCGGCGCGAGAGGGAGGTGCTCCCAGTGAGGGCCCCCGTGATGTTGGGGAAGGGACTTGATAGTGTTGGGGAGAGTGACAGTCACAGGGTGTTGGGTACTTGGGTCCGATGAGTGACCCTAAGTCACCCTACCCCCTCCCCGTGCCTCAGTTTCCTTATCTGCAAAACGGAATTGATGACGGCAGCCACCCCAGGTGGGGTGAGGGGCACATAACCGGGAAGGGAACGGCGCCCGGCGCGTGGTGCGCGCTCACGCGCTCCAGAGGGTCGGCACGCAGAAGGCATGCCTACGTTGCCTGCGCTTTAAAGGTTTATTTCGAGAGGGATCCTGCGCGAGGATGGGGACTGGAGCTAAACTGGGCCGCCCCGTGAGGTGATCTCATTTCAGCGCCGCAGCTGCTCCCCAGCTTCTGCGGGGCTGGTGGGAGCCCAGCGCCCCCACTGGCTGGGAGCCGGGCCAGGCAAAGCGGGAGCTGGACCGTCCGTCGCTCGCGGTCAAGAGCTCGGCTTGGGCACACACGCTAAGCGCTTAACACGCGTGTGTTGGACTGCGGGATGCGTGCGCTTGCAGCCTCTCCACTGCGGGGGGGAGCGAGGGAGGCCCGGAGGGAGCGCTCACCTCTGCTGTTGGTTGAATTTGCACCGACATCGCTTGCCTGTGGAGTGGGAGGGTGACAGGCTGAGCTTTCCTCGTGCTCCCGCATCCCCAAGGCTCTCCTCCAAACCGGGGAGGCGGCGGGGGTGGGGCGGGAGGCGGGACTGGAGGAAGGGTGGGGAACGGGGGGGCGTGGTGGAGTGTGGGGGCGTGGCCTGGGAGTGGGGGTGGGACTGAGGGGCGGGGTTTGGGGTGGGTGTGGTCTTGCGGTGAGGGGGCGAGGCTGGAGTCAGGGTAGGATGTGAGGAGGGATGCGGTTGGAGGCTGAGCCTGTGCTGAGCGTGGGTAGGGCTAGCTGTGTGGGCTGTTAGGAGCCGGGCTTGGGCGGGGAAGGCTGGAGGCGGGGCCGAGAAGGCAGGTGCAGACACTCACTGAGGATGATGAGGATGCCCAGGATGAAGAGGATCCCAGCGATGATGAGGCCACCGACCCTCAGGGTGTGGTAATCTGTGGGCGGCCCCGGAGGGGAAGAGGAGTCCAATGGGGAAGAGTACCGCAGGGCAAAGGGGAAGAGAGGAGGAGAGGAGACGCAGGGGAGGGGGCGAGCCGAGGGCAGGGCAGAGGAAAGAGGGAGAGAAGAGAGGAGGGTGGGAAGAGGGGGAGGCTGGGAGGAGGGTGCCGCAGGAAGTGAAGGCAGTAGGGAAGGGGCACCTGGTACTGAGAAAGCAGCCCAAATGAGACGGGGGGGGGCAGGGAGGGGGAGGCTCGAACCGACAGGCTCTAAGACAAGCAGAGCAGGAGAGCATGGAGGATGGGGAGACGCCCACAGACACACGCAGAGACACACAGGAAGAACATAAACACCCAGGCCCTCTCTCCAAGCCCCCACAGTAGCTGCCCTCACCGTAGGTGAATGGATCAGGTTCCTGTGGTCCTTCTAGAAGGAAAAGCAAAAGTCAGTGTTTGCGTATCTCTCGGGGTGTGTGACAGAGACCCACATTAGAAGACCCCTCTGGGGGGCTCTACCTACCTTCTTGGGCTGGGAGTTTGGGTGCTACGGAGCCATAGATAGGCTGCCAACCTATTCTGTATCCTAGCAACCTCCTGTGGTGACCCAGTACCCTGATATCTTACAGGTTGTTCCTGTTGCCATCAACCAGGGAGCCAGTTTCTATCCACACGAACTTCTGCCTAACTCAGGCATCCTCCTCTCTCCCCCAAAAGTCAGCCATGCCGCAGCCCGTGCAGTGATGCCTGGCTTCCTGTTACACGGATTCCTCTCGAGTGGGGCCTCCCACCTGGTTTTCTGGGGGAGGGGCTTTCTCCTCCCTCTGGCACCCACCGGGTTGAGATAGAGGGCCCCTCCTTCGGACTCACCCGCACTGGCCATGGTGAGGAGACACAGGCAGAGAGTCAGGATGTGGCCCGGAGATACCATTGCCCTAAGGAGTCAGCCAGGGTCAAGAAATATCTTCTCCCCTGTTCCCCTCCCCTAAGGGCCTAGACCCACGGGGTCAAGTCAAGGGCAGCCTAAGGACTTAGTTGCCTGAGAAACAGGGGCTCCCCGTGCTTTACAGGACCCGTGTCACCAAAACAACCGCATAACATACATCAGGAGACTACACAGCAAACGCCACAGTAAGGCAGGGTGGGGAGGGGCACACAGCCCCCCCGGGGGGGGGGAGACTTCCCACTGGCCACCCCCTACCAACAGCTGGTCCCAGAGTCCCAACACCTACCCTTGTAAGGGAAGCCAGCTGCCCCTGGACACAGGTGGAGATGCTGAGACAGACATCAGGACACGCCCAGCCCCACCTGCCCCTACACGCCTCAGGCAGTGGTCTCTCTACCCCCGGCAGTCCCGGCTCTCCCAGCCTGGGCTGCCTGCCTGCGCTCTCCCTGACCCTGGGTATAAATATCTCCCGCTTCACCCCGGAGGAATTCGCTGCACACAGGCCACCATGGCAACAGCCGCCTCCCCCCCTCTGACGACTCGGCAGGGGGGGTCCTGTGTAACTCTGCTGGGGTGAAGCTCAGCCAGAAGCCACATCCCCCCAGGCCACCCCACCTCCGGAGGAAAGGGGGACACGCTGCTCCCTTTGCCCTCCCTTGGTGGACATCTTTCATAACAAGACAGCATTAGGCAAGTGAGCAGCAAGAAGTCCATGCCTGAGGGGAGTTAGGTACTTGGTTCCGGGACACACATAAGAGCACAGGCACACTTAATACGTGGGTACACACACACACACACACACACACACACACACAGACCCCAAGAACGGGTGTGACTGGAATGGGGACAGACAACGCCCTCTCCCCAAACCGCTGGTTGGAGGAACACAGAGTATAGACATAAACACACACTCCTCCGGGGCCTTCTGTATCTCCAAACAGTGACGGCGACAGACCTAGGCAAATGAACACCCAAGCCTCACCCCCAGCCAGGGGTCTCACACAGCCGACACTGAAAAAGGGAGGAGTCACCAGCTCGCCCTCCCCCGTGCAACTCCTGGGCCCACACTCTCCTCCCTCTTGGGTCAGGCCTGCCTGAGAAGCCACAGGCTGGCCACTCTCGTTCCCAAAATAGGCCTCCCAGCTCAGGGAGCAGAGAGGCCTGGAGGGAGGGCTGGGGAACGCTCACCCCATTCACGCTGTCCCTGCTGACAGAAGACCCCCAAGTGTCCAGCTGTGCACCCTGGGAGCTAAGTACTTTGGACCCCCTGGCCCAGAACTGGACGCTCCACCCCCCTGCAGGCTCCCCTCCTGGCCCCACCCTATTCTTGCCCTCCCCATCAAGCAACTGAAACTGGAGCCCAGGCTGGAGGGGGGCCAGGGGGCGGCCCCCAGCCCAGACCGCCCTGGCCCGCTAGATTAACTCTCTCAGCACAGCCCCAGGAGTAACATGGGGCCATCGTGGGGCCCGCGTGTGCACTAGGTTGTGAGATGACACAGGCCTGCCTCTAGACCAGGGTCAGAGAATGTTTTCTGCTAGGATTCCTGGGAATTGGCCCAGCCGGGGCCTAAGGTCACGCAACCTAAGTGCTTACGAGGTTACTGACCTCTGACACAGTGTTCTGACAGCCTTTGATAACCAGTTTTCTTACATTTTATTTTAAACGTACGGTGCCTTGATTTTGCATGTATGGTGGTGTGTTGCTGCCTCAGTTTTACCAGGAGTAACACACACACACACACACACTCACACACACACTCACACACACACTCACACACACACTCACACACACACTCACACACACACACTCACACACTCACACACACACACACACACACACACACACGAGGAATCACAGACACCCAGCTAGTTCTCTAACTTCAGACACAAAGCATGACTGGTGTATTTGTACACACACACACACACACACACTCACACACACACTCACACACACACACACACACACACACGAGGAATCACAGACACCCAGCTAGTTCTCTAACTTCAGACACAAAGCATGACTGGTGTATTTGTACACACACACACACACACACTCACACACACACTCACACACACACACACACACACGAGGAATCACAGACACCCAGCTAGTTCTCTAACTTCAGACACAAAGCATGACTGGTGTATTTGTACACACACACACACACACACACTCACACACACACTCACACACACACGAGGAATCACAGGAATCACAGACACCCAGCTAGTTCTCTAACTTCAGACACAAAGCATGACTGGTGTATTTGTACACACACACACACACACACACACACACACACGGCGCGCGTGCGCGCACACCCATGCACACTCGGGTATCTGTGCAGAGATACAGCCAGGATGTAACCACTGGATGAGTCACTCAGGAAGCAGAAGCAGGAGGATTGGGGTTTCCAGGTCAGACTGGCCCGCAGAGTGAGCTCCATAGAGATCAAGACACATGACCCTTCTCATTAAAAAAAAAGACATTGGTGTACCTCTGTCTACTCTCACACACAGTTACACACTATCACACACAGCCCACGGGAACACAGTCAAAGACAGACTCACACCCGGCCCTCCCTTTCCCGTGCCACAAGGAGGTGCACACACAGCTCAACCCGCAGGAATGGGGGCACACCAGCGAGTTCACGGTGGGGGCTTCCACACGGCCACCTCAAACCCACCCGCTGTGTGAGCACCCCGTGTGCAGACCAACAGGCTCGTCATGGTCCATACAGCCATGGGCACGCAGGGCCACATGCTCCAAAGCCACAGAGAGGCACTGTCTTGAACTTCCTGTCCCCTTAGCTCATGTCGTCCTGGGGAGAACACTTTTGACATTCTCACAGACCAGCCAGCTCCACAAGCCCCCCAGACAGAGAAACCAGGGGGGCAGGCATGGGTTCAAGACTCCTTGCTATGTGACCTTTGAGCAGCTAATGAGACCTCACTGTCCCTCAGCCTTCCTGGGCTACAAAATGGAGAAACCACTGATATTACATCGGCAACTCCTGGCCAGGCTCAGAGGTTCACAAACGTAAAGTTGCCATCTCCATCTTTAGAGACTGATAAACTGAGGTCTGGGATAACTGATTTTTCCTTAAGTCTCCCTGCTGGTAGAAGTGTCCCCCAGCCTCAAGCAAACAGCAGCCCAGACCCTATGCTCGGCAAACAGGAGCTTAGCCCTGTCACCGACACAAACCTAGCCTCAGATATCCCTGTGTCCCCACACCCCTCTTTACCCTCGCTGTCCCAGCGTCCCTGGTTACAGATAACCCTGATGTTTGCACAGCACCACGGGGTGGGGGCAGCCAGCCTGTCCAGCCTCCTTTGCTCACAGAGAGCCTCTGAAGTGCTCACTGCCCCAGGGTGGAACAGCTTGATCCTTTCCCACCGTGTGACAGCCTGTCCGGGGCTCAGTTGTCCCATCTGTAAAATGGAAAGAATAGCCATAGTCCCCTAATGGAGGGAGGTGGTGTGATTATCTAGAACCGTCTGGGCAAAGCAGTGAAAACTGGCTGGTGCAGGGTGAATGTTTTGTTTGTTTGTGCCAAGTTGCCCCAGCCTTCTCTGTAAAAAGCCATCTTTCTCGTGATAAACGGGAGTGAGACCCTGCTGGAAGGGTTCAGACCTGTCACTGTGCCCTTTGCATCCCTAGCAGAAGCCTTTTCCAATTGCTCTCTTTTGTTTGTTTGTTTTGAGACGGGCTCTTATTCCACAACCCCAGGCTGGCCTCAAACTCCCCGTGTAGCCTAGACTAGCCTCCACCTTCTGAGTGCTGGGATTACAGGTGCCATCACCGCTCTGAACCTCCACCAGCATGTTCCCGTGGAGGGCTGGGAATGCGGCTCCATCAGCAGAGTGCTTACTCAGCATTCATGGGGCCCTGGGCTCAGTCCCCAGCACCGCAGAACCTGGAGTGACGTCACATGCTCATTCCCGGAGCGCTGGGAGATCAAGGTCATCCTTGGCTGTACAGTGAGCTCAAGGCCAGGCTGAGTTATGTGAGACCCTCTGTATAAAAGGATTGCCCCTACAATACAGAGAAACCCTGTCTCGAAAAACAAAAACAAAAACAAAAAAAAAAAAAGGATTGCCCCCCCAAGCCTGACTGAACCACAAAGAGGGGAGCTGATGCCTTAGCTCACTGAGCCTCAGTTTGGGAGTGGACAGTATGTATGATCCCACTGACAAATGAGGAAACCGAGGAACAGAGAGGTCAAGTACCTTGACTGAGGCAACACGGGACTGGGCTGGACCCAGGACCTATTTGGATCCTGTCCTCCAATGTCATCTCCGTGACCAGAGGCTGTGTGTTTCTCGGCTTTCTGGCCCCGTGAAGCTAATCATTTCAGAGTCTCGGGCCTCGGTTTCCCCATTTTTGGAGAAGGAGTTGTAAAGCAGGAGCAGCAGTGCCCCGCCCCACATCTCACAAGGCTGCTGGGACGTCAGAGAGCTAACACATGTAGAACCGGGCATACGGTCCAGTGTGGCGGCGCCCATCTGTCATCCCAGCACTTGGCAGGCTAAGCCGGAAGAGTCTTGCATTTGAGGGCAGCCTGGACTACAAAACAAGCAAGCAAACAAATATAAAAGACTATCACACAGCTTGAGGGACACCCCACTGGGGCCTTAGGTTGGGTTATGTGTGATTTACGAACTTTTCTCATTTAATGGAGACAATCTGAGTCTCTAGATGCTTAGTCCAGTTGGAAGCACCTAAGTTGTGCACATGTCCACAAATTCCATCCTCCAAAGAAAGGATGCAGAATGATATGGAGAGAACCTGGAGCCGGCTTCCTGGGTTTGGATCCTGGCTCTTCCTCTACTGGGGCCCGGCCTCCCTTCAACTGTAAATTAGTCATGCAAATTAGACACTGGCCTGAGGGTCAGGGAAGATTAGACCACTGGTAGTGATGAGGACAAAGGTCTGTAGATCTGGTGTGGAAGAGAGAGGCAGCGTCATCACCCTTAGTTCTAGTATTCAGCATCGGACCTTGGCTTTCACGGGGTTAATTACAGGGATCTGGAAGGAGTTCTGGCTTTGGGGCAGGGTGGTTGCCCTGCCAAGCGTAGCCACCAGGGGGAGCAGCTGGACCGGTACTGGCCTGATGGCGCCTTGGAGACAGGGTGGACCACACCCTTTAAGAGAAGGGGCTGGCAAGAAGAGTTAGGATACCCCCACCCCCCACTGACTTCTCCTCCAGCCCCTCCCATCAGCAGTCTGAAGAGGCCATCTGCTCCCCACCCTGGGGACATCCTTCCCACTCTCCCCCAGCTGGGGTGGAGTGGGGACTCTGATTGATGACAGGGTCGGTTGGAAGAGCCTAGGGTGGCTCAGGCCCTTGGCAGCCCCGCCCCCTCAAAGGCCATTCAGCCCCTTTCCTCCTATGGCCTCTGACCCCCTCCTTCCTACCCTTCTGCTGGGCGCACCCCAGGCCACAGCAAGTGGGACAGGAGTGTAGCAGGAGGACGCACAGAAAGAAGGTACTGGAAACTTGAGCAGGGCAGGGAGGTGAGAATTACAGACGTCAGGCAGGGAGGACAAGGACAGACACGTAGACACAGACAGACAGACAGACACACACACACAAACACACACGAGAGAGAGAGAGAGAGAGAGAGAGAGAGAGAGAGAGAGAGAGAGAGAGAGAGAGATCTAGAAGCCAAACCAGAGACACACAGATAGACAAAGGCAGAGATAGGCCAGAGATTGCAAGGGTTGGGGGAACGGGAAAACAGAAAGATAGGGAGAGAGATTGACAGGAACCCCACACACGCACGCACACTCCAGATACAGAGGAGGGGGGGCAGGCTGAGAGAGAGAACGAGGAATCGAGCCAGCCACAGGACAAGCGTGGCCAGCAGCGGGATGCAGGGGCGCCCCACAAAGATGTAGTGGTCGGGGTCTGGCGGGTAGGGTCCAGTGGGAGCCTGGGCAGGGGCAGGGGGCATGGGAGGGGCAGGCATTCTGCTGCTGCTGTTGGCCGGGGCTGGGGCAGCGGTGGCCTGGAGTCCCCCCAAGGGCAAGTGTCCTCCACGCTGCTCATGCTCCAAGGAGAGCACCCTGTGTGAGGGCCCCACCGAGCTGCCCGACACCTTCTCTACCACGCTGCTGTCACTGTGAGTGCCCGGCCCCGTGTGGGCCTAACGGGAGGGAGGAGACCTTGGGACTCCAGGGCTTGGGGTGGGGTGCTGGGGTCTCTGTCAGAATCTTGGACACCAAAGAACTCTGGGATGTCTGAAAGAGGGCTGCTGAGATTTGGAAAGGCGCCCACTTGGGGGGACCCAAAGGGCAGGGGGGACAATTGGGATACTGGAAGTGCAGCATCCGGGGCCTGAGTGCTGCCAGGGACCTTGTATGTGGGGGGGGGAGAGGGGGCCCTAGCGGAGGGCAGGATAAAGGGCAGTTGGAGGTACCCCAGGCTCAACATGGAAGGCCAGGCCCTCCAGAGCAGCCACGGGCTCTGAGTTAAGAGAGGAAAATTGGAATGGTCTTCTGTGCACTGATCTCTCTCCCCCCATGTCCCCAGCTCCCTCGTGAGGATGGGGGTCTCCCAGCTGAAGGCTGGCAGCTTCACGAAGATGCCATCGTTGCGCCTGCTGTGAGTACAGCCTGGCTGAGCCCACGACCCCCACTGCTCAAGGGAATGGGTGTTCGTGTATGTGCGTGTGTGTGTGTGTGTGTGTGTGTGTGTGTCTCCGAGTGCACACATGCACACGCACATGCACCGGGGTATTCGGATACATGTACCTTGTATGTGTCCATGGAAGCATCCACGTGTCTGTTCGCGTACGCCCACGCTTGCGTGCGTGTCTTTGGGTTGGGTGGGGCCAGGAGCACAGCCAGAGACACTGGTCTGCAACCCTGAAAACGTCTGCCTCTCCCCCTGGCCAGGCTCTTCACGTCCAATACCTTCTCCGTGATCGAGGACGATGCCTTCAGTGGCCTGTCCTACCTGCAGTACCTGTAAGTACAGCCAGAGGCTGGGGGACGTGGATGTGGAGGGGAGGGCAAGCTTCTCTGTGACCCCCAGTGTAAGAAGACAAAGGGGGATGGCCTGGGGAAGGGGGCATCTGGCTGCCGGCAGGCCCCTAGGGGCAGACGGCAGTGTGGACAGCTCAGGGGCTCCATCCTGGCCTTCAGCTGGTCGGAAATGAGCCTCCCCTCTGCGTATTTCACGAGTCACAGAGGAAGCTGGCCCTGGTAGCTTAGGCCTGTAGTAATCCCAGCTATTCGGGAGGTTGAAGCAGGGGATTGGCTAATTCAGGGCCTACCCGGGCTAAAGAGTGAGTTCAAGGCTAGCCAGAGCGGCTCAGTGGGACTCTGTCTCAGAGTAAGAAATAGTTAAAAGGAAAGACCAGAGATGCATGTCGGGAGTAGACGCTTAGCATGGGTGAGACCCCGGGTTTCGGTCCCAGCCGCCCTAGAGACCAAGAATCAGCAAGGGGCCTAGCCAGGCAGACTCAGTCGTCCTGATGCAGGGGGACTCCAGGAAAGGGTGTACAAAGAGGTCAGTGGCAGGGACACTTAAAATGACCTGGAAACCACTGGAGCTACGCAGTGGCCATGTGTGGTGTCAGTGCCAATGTGGGGTTTGCAGAGTGCTGCAGGGCACTGCTGTGTGACAGGGCTGTGGTGACACTGCTGTGGATAGTGGCGTGTAGGTAGGAGTCCATTTCCTGCCCGCCAGTTCCTAGGTAACCAACACAGAGACTTAGCATGAATTAGAAGTGCGTGGCTGGTAGCTCTGGCTTATTACTAACTGGCTCTTACAACTTCAATTAACCCGTTTCTGATAACCTACATTCTGCCACGTGGCCTTACCCTTTCTCTCAGTGATGGTTGGATTACTGCTGACGGAGTTTGAGGGTCGCTGGCCAAAATGGCTGCCACAATAGTAGTCGGTGTTATTGGGGGATATCTACTAGGTGTTTTGGATATCTATTAGGTGGGGTTTTGGGCATGCCAGGAAAGTTGCAAACTCCTCACTGGGGGATTCTAGGCAGGGTCTCTACCATGGTCACACCCACAACCCCTCACTGGGGGATTCTAGGCAGGGGCTCTACCATGGTTACACCCACAACCCCTCACTGGGGGATTCTAGGCAGGGGCTCTATCTCTAAGGCACACCTCACTCAGTCCAGCCGTCATGGTGTTTTAAAATGCTGCATTTATTTTGGGGGGACAGCACATGCGCCATGGTCCACATTAGAAGTCAGAGGCCAGTTTGTGGGAGCAGATCCTCTCCTTCCACCACATGGGTTCTGGGGACCAAGCTTGGGTTATCAGGCATGACGGTGACTGCCTTTACGGCTGAGCCATGCTCCAGCCCTGTTATTAGCTGGGTGCTGTTGGATCTGGGTTTACCAACGATGATGAAAATACCATACTGTTGGTGGTGACGGTGATGCTGTAGGTACCAGATGAGGTTGTACCGATGATGGCAGTGTTGGTGCCATGCAGCAGTCTTGGTTCCCGTCATGAATGTGTGATATTGGTGACACTGTCTGTGTTGTTGGTGTGGGGTCTGGCGATGGCTGTTGATAGAAGTGGGTGGAGATGACAGCACGGTGCTAGGGATAATGGCAGATTTTGGTACTGAGCTCAGTGATGATGCTGGTGCCACTGGTGCCAGGATGGTGGTGATGGTGATGGTGGTGATGGTGGTGATGGTGGTGATGATGGTGGTGATGGTGATGGTGGTGATGGTGGTGATGGTGATGATAGTGGTGATGGTGATGGTGGTAATGGTGATGATGGTGGTGATGGTGATGATGGTGGTGATGGTGATGATGGTGGTGGTGATGATGGTGATGGTGGTGATGGTGATGATGGTGGTGATGGTGATGATGGTGGTGGTGATGGTGATGATGGTGGTGGTGATGATGGTGATGGTGGTGATGGTGGTGATGATGGTGATGGTGGTAATGGTGATGATAGTGGTGATGGTGATGATGGTGGTGGTGATGGTGGTGATGGTGGTGATGGTGGTGATGGTGATGGTGGTGATGGTGGTGATGGTGGTGGTGGTGATGGTGGTGATGGTGATGATGGTGGTGGTGATGGTGATGGTGGTGATGGTGGTGGTGGTGATGGTGGTGATGGTGGTGATGGTGATGATGGTGGTGGTGATGGTGGTGATGGTGATGGTGGTGGTGATGGTGGTGATGGTGGTGGTGGTGATGGTGGTGATGGTGATGGTGGTGATAGTGGTGGTGGTGATGGTGCTGATAGTGGTGATGGTGATGGTGATGATGGTGGTGATGGTGATGATGGTGGTGGTGATGATGGTGGTGGTGATGGTGGTGATGGTGATGATGGTAGTGATGGTGATGGTGGTGATGATGGTGATGGTGGTGATGGTGATGATGGTGGTGGTGATGGTAGTGATGGTGATGATGGTGGTGGTGATGTTGGTGATGGTGGTGATGATGGTGATGGTGGTAATGGTGATGATAGTGGTGGTGGTGATGGTGGTGATGGTGATGATGGTGGTGGTGATGGTGGTGATGGTGATGATGGTGGTGGTGATGGTGGTGATGGTGATGATGGTGGTGGTGATGGTGGTGATGGTGATGGTGGTGATGGTGGTGATGGTGGTGGTGGTGATGGTGGTGATGGTGATGATGGTGGTGATGGTGGTGGTGATGGTGATGATGGTGATGATGGTGGTGGTGATGGTGATGGTGATGGTGGTGATGGTGGTGATGATGATGGTGATGGTGGTGATGGTGGTGGTGATGGTGGTGATGGTGGTGGTGATGGTGATGGTGATGATGGTGGTGGTGATGGTGATGGTGGTGATGGTGATGGTGGTGATGGTGGTGGTGGTGATGGTGGTGATGGTGGTGATGGTGATGATGGTGGTGGTGATGGTGGTGATGGTGATGGTGGTGATGGTGGTGATGGTGGTGGTGGTGATGGTGGTGATGGTGATGATGGTGGTGATGGTGGTGGTGATGGTGATGATGGTGATGATGGTGGTGGTGATGGTGATGGTGATGGTGGTGATGGTGGTGATGATGATGGTGATGGTGGTGATGGTGGTGGTGATGGTGGTGATGGTGGTGGTGATGGTGATGGTGATGATGGTGGTGGTGATGGTGATGGTGATGGTGGTGATGGTGGTGGTGGTGATGGTGGTGATGGTGGTGATGGTGATGATGGTGGTGGTGATGGTGGTGATGGTGATGGTGGTGGTGATGGTGGTGATGGTGGTGGTGGTGATGGTGGTGATGGTGATGGTGGTGATAGTGGTGGTGGTGATGGTGCTGATAGTGGTGATGGTGATGGTGATGATGGTGATGATGGTGGTGATGGTGATGATGGTGGTGGTGATGATGGTGGTGGTGATGGTGGTGATGGTGATGGTGGTGATGGTGGTGATGGTGATGATGGTAGTGATGGTGATGGTGGTGATGATGGTGATGGTGGTGATGGTGATGATGGTGGTGGTGATGGTAGTGATGGTGATGATGGTGGTGGTGATGTTGGTGATGGTGGTGATGATGGTGATGGTGGTAATGGTGATGATAGTGGTGGTGGTGATGGTGGTGATGGTGATGATGGTGGTGGTGATGGTGGTGATGGTGATGATGGTGGTGGTGATGGTGGTGATGGTGATGGTGGTGATGGTGGTGATGATGGTGGTGGTGATGGTGGTGATGGTGATGATGGTGGTGATGGTGGTGGTGATGGTGATGATGGTGATGATGGTGGTGGTGATGGTGATGGTGATGGTGGTGATGGTGATGATGGTGGTGGTGATGATGGTGATGGTGGTGATGGTGGTGGTGATGGTGGTGATGGTGATGGTGGTGGTGGTGGTGGTGATGGTGGTGGTGATGGTGATGGTGATGATGGTGGTGGTGATGGTGATGGTGGTGATGGTGATGGTGGTGATGGTGGTGGTGGCGGTGGCTGTGTTTATGATAAGCTTGACAATGACCATAGAGCCAAGACCTTGGCCTCTGTGACAGTGGCTCTGGTAAAGAATGGATTCCTTGTGGTCTTTCAAGGAGAGACAGGAAAGAGAAGCCCTCCCTCTCCCGGTGACTTCCTAGGGCCGATTTCTCCAGCACTGTGGCCCCTCACTCCGCCCTCTCCCCACAGCTTCATTGAGGACAACAAGATTGGCTCCATCTCCAAGAACGCCCTGAGAGGACTCCGCTCCCTCACCCACCTGTGTGTATTTCCAGCCCAGGCCTCCACCACAGGCACCCTTCCCATCCCTCAAGGCCATAGCATCTCCCACCACGGCTGACATCTTTCTTCTCCCACCCCACCAGGAGCCTGGCCAACAACCACCTCGAGGCTCTCCCCAGATTCCTGTTTCGAGGCCTGGAGACCCTGACGCATGTGTGAGCTCAGGCTGGGAGCGGCTGAGGGGGACTTGGGAATGCTTCCAGGGAGGGAGAGCTGGGCCCCTTGGGCTCCCTTGCTTTGCTTACACTTCCATCACTGGAGGCTGCCATCCTGCCCCTGAGCCGTGGAAACCGGGACACAGCTTCTTCCCGGTTTCTCACCTAGGGACCTCCGCGGGAACCCCTTCCAGTGTGACTGCCGAGTCCTCTGGCTGCTTCAGTGGATGCCTACGGTGAATGCCAGTGTGGGCCTGGGAGCCTGTGCAGGCCCCTCTGCCCTGGCCCGGATGCAACTCGATCACCTTGACCCTACGAAGTTCAAGTGCAGAACCACAGGTGAGCACTCCCTCCCCCTCCCCCACTCCCCGGAGGTGGGAGGGACCACGGGGGGGGGCCGGCATCCACAGGGCTTCCGAGATGCTGTCCCTGAGCCTCAGTTTCCTCATTTGTAAAGCGGGATGTAAACGGTGATGGCAGACCTCTGTGAGGATTAAACGCTGGGCAGTATTTTTCCTTTTGACAGGGTCTCAATCCACAGACGAGGCTGGCGTTGAACTTGTGACCCTCATGCCTCCTCCGCCTTCTGTGCGCTGGGGTTGCAAGCATGGATCACAACTTGGTCTCTGCACAGCTCTCAATACCAGTTGTGGGGCGAGAGGCTTTTATATTGTTGTTGTTACACGCATGTGTGTGTGTGTCTGTGTATGGGTATTGTTATAGTTATTGTTACACGCATGTGTGTGTGTATGGGTATTGTTATTGTTACATGCATGTGTGTGCGTGTCTGTGTATGGGTATGTACATTCAGGTGCAGATGTTAGATCCTCTGGAATTAGAATTCTAGGCCGTTGTAAACCGTCCTACATGGGGTGCTGGGAACCAGAACTCCAGTTCTCTGCCGGAGCAGCAAAAACCCCGCTCCCTTGCGGCCCTGAGCAGTCTCTCCAGACCTTGTTTTTGCTTTGTTTCCTGAGACAAAGTCTCACTGTGTAGCACAAGCTGACCTCAGACTTGAGGCAGTCCCTTGGCCTCAGCCTCCCTAGTGCCGATGCCCACGGGTAGCTCTGTGCAGGGCTTCCTAGAGGATTTGGTCGGCGTTCACTGGTACGGTTAACGTTTAGATAGCCCTCCTCCTCCGCACCCGTTTTGTGTTGGAAGCTTTGGGCCCCTCCCTCCTCCTTGGAGCTTGTCTTCTTTCGGCTTCTCCACAAATACTGAGAACATATCGTGACATTTCCTGGGCCATACAGGAGGACAGAGGACAGCAGTGACTCCCGCAGGCTGGACCTGGGTTTCACCCCCACCCCAAGGCTACTGTTGAGTCTGGGGTAGGACTGGAGTAGGCATTAGCATCTGAGGAAGCCCAGAGCCACCAGGGAAGCCAAGGAAGGCTACAGACAGCAAGTAACTTGGTTTTCGTTTAAGTTGGTTTGTTTTTGCTTTTGAGACAGGGTTTCTCTATGTAGCTCTGGCTGTCTTGGAAGTCACTCTCTAGACCAGGCTGGCCTCGAACTCACAGAGATCCGCCTGCCTCTGTCTCCTGAGTGCTGGGATTAAAGGCGTGCGCCACCAACGCCCAGCTTCATTTACATTTTAAAATATGGGTGTGGGGTAGTGGTGGCTACATGTCTCTCTCTCTCTCTTTCTCTCTCTCTCTCTTTCTCTCTCTCTCTCTCTCTCTCTCTCTCTCTCTCTCACACACACACACACACACACACACACACACACACACACACACGCAGAGGTCAGAGGACCAGTGGGAATCCATTCTCTCCTTGGGTTCTGGGACTGAATTCAGCTCCATCAGACTTGGTGGCAACCGCCCTTATCCCCTGAGTCATCCCCACTCCCCTGCCGCCCACCCCCCTCGCCCTCCAGTCCAGGAAGGACTGATTTAAAGGACTTTTTTTTTTTTTTTAAGATTCTGCAGGGCATTGTAGTACACACTTGCCTTGCAATCCCAGCCCTGGAACGGCTGGGTCTGGAGGACTGTGAACCTGAGGGCATCGTAGGCTAAATGGTGAAGCCCTACCTCAAAAAACAAGAGGAGATTCTCTTTGTGGGACTGTCCCCTGTTTTAGTTTATTGTCTCAACCTTGCCACCAGGAACAGAGTCTGGTATATAGGGTGGCATAATACATAGTCATAGCCTGGGTCTCTCACTAACAACCTGGAGAGTGAATTAAAGAACTTCCTGGGGGAGACTGGAGAGATGGCTCGGAGGTTAAAAACACTGACTGCTCTTCCAGAGGACCTGGGTTCAATTCCCAGCAACCACATGGTGGCTCACAACCATCTGTAATGAGATCTGGTGCCCTCTTCTGGCCTGCAGGGATGCATGCAGGCAGAGCACTGTATATATAATAAATAAATAAATATTTTTAAAAAATAATTAAAAAGAAAAGGACTTCCTGGGCTGGTGAGATGACTCAGTGAGTAAGGACCTGGGTTCAATTCCCGGAGCCCGAGTAAAGGAGAGATTGGCTCTCACACTTGCCCTCTGACCCCCACACGTGGGTCGTGCAACCTCACACGTAAACACAGATGAGAGCAGATGGCCTGTCTTCTGCGTGGGTGGGGTAGCCCCTTGCTGCTGCTCTTGTTTGTTATGGTTAAGTCAGGTTGTGACATCTCCACGTGCTTCTGGGCTGGGCAAAAAGGAGGTGAAAGAGGCCAGGTTTGGACAGGTCATGTTCACACGGTGGAGTGAGCACCCCTCTTCTTGTCTGTTGTGAGCTTGATCATGGTATCTGGGGAGTGAGTGAGTAGGGGTGCTGGGACATCCTGGATGGGCTGATGGTTGCCTCCCTGCTGTGTGTGTGTGTGTGTGTGTGTGTGTGAGAGAGAGAGAGAGAGAGAGAGAGAGAGAGAGAGAGAGAGAGAGAGAGAGAGAGAGAGAGAGACTAGGGATTAAACTCTGTGCATTCTACATGCTATTCCACCACTGAGCCACACCCCAGCCCCTCACTGGGGGATTCTAGGCAGGGGCTCTACCGCTGAGCTACCTACATTGCTTTTTTTTTTTTTTTTTTGAGATAGGGTCTGCTATTAAGTTGCACTCCCGAACTCCTGTATCCCACAGGCAGGCCTTGAACTTTTACGGCTCCTTCTCCGTAGTAGCTAGATTGACAGGCTTGTCTTCTGCGCCCCAGCTCCAGATGGGGAGGATGAGTGTGTCTGGCCAGCTGGCCACTTATCCTCGGGTGCTCTTGGTAACAGAGTGCAGCTCACAGGAATGCTGCCGTAAAGTTTAACTGAGCCACTAAACACGATGTTTGATTTGTTTTGTGTTTTGGGGGCAGGATCAACACTTGTAGCCCAGGCTGACCAACAACCAGAGATCCTCCTGCCTCAGCTTCCCCAAGGCTGCCATCCCAACTGTGTGCCACAACATCTGTCTGAGACAGTTTCCAAGGGACTATCTGATGACACACAGCTTTGAAAAGAAAGATGCTCCTGTTTCTGAGAGCGAACCCATGTGTGGACAGAAAGGTTCCATTCTATAGGTCCCGATGCAGTGAACGCTGTGAATTCTCTCTCATTTCAAAGATGTGTCAACCAAGGCTCAGCAATGAGGTCCCCTGCCCACCCCCAGGCACCTGACTCTCTTGCTGCCTCTAGAACTGTCCTGGCTCCAGACTGTTGGGGAGGCGGCACTGAGCGTGGAGTCCTTCTCCTACCAGGGGGAACCTCACATGATCCTGGCTCAGCCCTTCGCTGGCCGCTGCCTGATCCTGGTCTGGGACTACAGCCTGCAGCGCTTCCGGCCTGAGGAAGAGCTGTCCGGTGAGCTCCCCTCCGGTCCTCACCCCTTCCCGCCTGTCCCCAGACTGCCACTGAGCCTGACTGTGCCCCTCCCGCTCTCCCTCCAGCGCCCTCCGTGGTGTCCTGCAAACCGCTGGTGCTGGGCCCACGCCTCTTCATATTGGCTGCCCGCCTGTGGGGAGGCTCGCATCTGTGGTCTCGGGTCAGCCCCGATCTGCGTCTGGCCCCAGTGCAGGTCCTGGCCCCTCAACGACTGCTGCGACCCAATGACGCCGAGCTCCTGTGGTTGGATGGGCAGCCCTGCTTCGTGGTGGCTGACGCCTCCAAGGCTGGCAGCACCACGCTGCTGTGCCGCGACGGGCCTGGCTTCTACCCACGCCAGAGCCTGCACGCCTGGCACCGTGACACCGACGCCGAGGCCCTGGAGCTGGACAGCCGACCGCATCTGCTGCTCGCTTCCGCTTCCCAGAGGCCGGTGCTCTTCCACTGGACTGGCGGCCGCTTTGTGAGGCGCACAGACATCCCAGAGGCCGAGGACGTCTACGCCACCAGACACTTTCAGGCCGGTGGAGACGTGTTCCTGTGCCTGACTCGATACATCGGGGACTCCATGGTGAGGCTGGGGGCGGTCAGCATGATCACACCGGCTGACTCTTACTTGACAGGGGGCTGGACGGCTGTTTCAGCACGGCCTCTCACTGGCGAATTCCAGGCATGGTTTCTATCACTGAGTCTACCCCACAGCCAATCCCTCATGAATTCCAGGCGAGCGAGACCCCCCTAAGCCACACCCCCAGTCCCTAAGAGAATTCCAGGCATAAGCTCTACAGCTGAGCTATATTCCCAACCTTCAACTGGTGAATTCTAAGTGAGAGCTTGCCTCCTGAACCATAGCCCGAGGCAGAGACTCAGAGGGTCTTAATACGTAGTCCAGTCTGGCCTCCATCCCTGATTCCTCCCGGTGCCCACGTAATAGGAATGTGCCAACATGACATGCTCCACTAAACTTACTCTGCTAAGCTTGTCTCTGTAACTCTAGAACATTCCAGGATGGTAGTTAACTCCAACCACACCCTTCCCATCAGGATACTACACCTTTGAGAGTGAGCTGGTGTTAGACCCTACTCAGCACCTCTGGGGCTCTCTTTTCAGAACGAGGCACAGTCAGGGGCAGAGCCCCCAAACTCGGTTATTTGAGGGTCTTGGGGGGAGGACAGTGGAGATAAGAATGGGTGTCAGGGATCAGGCAGGAGCTGGGTCGGGGTGTGTCCGGAGCAGATGGGATAAATGTAACACACAGTAGTAGTAAGATCAACAGACCATTGCTGGGCACTCCGTGTGGCATGTGAGGGAGAGAGGAAGGTCTAGAACAACGATCTGCTCTGAGCAGATAATGTTATCTACACATCAAGAAAGCTGCTGGGCATAGGGTTGGTGTCACAGGCCTGTCATCTCAGTACCAGGGAGGCTGAGGTGCAGAGACCGTGACTTTGAGACAGACAGCACCAAGACTCTCAAAAAAGACAAAACAAAAATCAAAACAAAAATCTTCTACGGTGTCACTGAGGACCTACGGGCTGGTGTTCGGACTTGAGGCTGACAGGCAGGCCCAGTGCCCCTTGACCCAGGGTCTAACTAGCTTCCACGCCCCGCAGGTCATGCGCTGGGATGGCTCCATGTTCCGCCTGCTCCAGCAGCTCCCATCTCGAGGTGCCCATGTCTTCCAGCCGCTGCTGATCGCCAGAGACCAGCTCGCCATCCTCGGCAGCGACTTTGCCTTCAGCCAGGTCTTCCGCCTTGAGCCAGATAAAGGGATCCTGGAACCGCTACAGGAGCTGGGACCCCCGGCCTTGGTGGCCCCTAGAGCCTTTGCCCAAGTCACCGTGGCGGGAAGGCGCTTCCTGTTCGCAGCGTGCTTCAAGGGCCCCACACAGATCTACCAGCACCACGAGTTGGACCTCAGTGCCTGAGGCTGGGCAGGGCCCTGGAAGTGGTTTCGGGGCTGGCCAGGGCTCCCTACGACATCTGGGTACCCTTCTCGGGCCTGGTCTCCTGGCCATCGCAGCCGGCCCTGTGTGACACAGATCGCTATCCGACCGTCTGGAGGACGGGGCAAATGGGAGGAGGTCTCTCTCTGCTCCCAACGTTTGGGGCCCTGACGTCTGAAGCCACATTTTGGCTGAGGACGGATGCTCCTCCCATAAGCAACGACTCGGGAGCGCAGCCTGGAGCTGGGATTACAGAAATCAAAAGGGCAATCTTCTGAACTCCAAGAGTATCCCACCCTCGGCGGCGCCTTGGTCCTGCTCCATATAAAGTACCGAGAGAGAGCTTTCTTTCCCACTCAAACCCAATCTGGCCATTCATTGGCTTTCATGGAGGACTACGCATCTCTGTGACGTCACAGTCGCCGGGCAGTTTCCCGGGCCTGGCTGGCACTTCGCTGCTTGTGCGCATGTCTGCTGCCAAAGGTTGATCGGCTGGCGTTTTGTTGCTTTTATGTGTGCGCAGAAAAAGCGAAAGCGGTAAAGATGAGTCTGGAGGTGCCGAAGAAAGCCCTGGGCACCCCAGAATGTGACAGGGGCAAGAACAGAAAGTGTATCCGTTCAATAAATGCCCTGCGCTCCCGACCTGCCCGGTCTGTGGGATCATGGCAGGAAGGTCTTGTGAATGCTGCTGAGTGGCAGGCGACGATGGCCCTGGATGGGAACCCTGGGCCAGAACTTTGCTTTGAAAGGTCTTGGGCATTCTCCGGGGTGTCGCATGGCATCATGCTGGACGCCCTGATATCAGGGTGCTGGCAGTCTCGAGTCTGGGGTTAGCGGAGGGTCTCACTCTGTGTGACCACTGTATATTGTTAGGGGTGTCCTGGGGAATTAAAGGCTTCACAGGGACAATTGGTGTGTGGAAAGACCTCATGATAAAGTGAGGTCTCAGAATGAACAAGAAGGCCACTGCGGGAGTGGGGGTGGGGCTAAACTGTGTGGCCCCGACACGGTAGGATGACCCTGTTATATAGTTATTATCAGTGTCAACCAGAATACCCACAGTGCGTGCGATTAGGGCTCCTTTCCACGCCTAGAGGTGTCCCTAGTTTACCACTAGAACATCTTAAGCGACGAAGGAGGCTGCCCACAGACAGAGAGGGAAGTCTCATGCCCACCATCAGGCCACGACACTCGGGTCTAATCGAGACAGGGTCACAGGATTCTGCACACAAGTGCCCACCTCATCAAGGACCCCCGGGCGCACTCCAACATCTGCCCACCTGCTTGATGCCCACAGCCACATTCCAGAATGCACGCACAGTCTCTAGCTCACCTGAGCACGATGTAAAAATTATTTTAGATTAAAAGCTGAACAAAGAGCCTGCTACCATGAGAGAGGTAAGACGAGGCGCTGGGCAAGGCAGAGTCAGGAACCGACAGTACGGCCATCTTGGAGTTCAGGCCCACTTCCAGAGCCAGGACCTGGGCTCAAAGGCATTCTGTTCATCTTCAGCAATTGTGAGCAGAGCCTGGTAAAGGGTCGGGGTCAGTTTGCAAGGGTCTATCCGGTCCCTTCTCCCCAGTGCAGGCATACCCCCGCCCCAGACCCCACTTGTGACCCTTGCCCCCATCCCCAACCTCCAGTCATGCTAAGTATCTTACCTGGTGTGATGAGAGGTGGCCCCTCCCCTGGACGGTGACTAGGGAAATAGAAATGGCAACATACAAATGAATCACCCATTTGTCCTCGCCCTCAGGGCTAAGGGAGTCTCAGCTTGCCTAGCTAGACAGTGTCTTGGCTGGTTTCCCACTGTGGGCTGTACAGAGCTAGGGGCCAAAGCCTTCTTAGGATGGTTTGCATGAAGCAAAACCCGGGAGACCTCAGGACAGAGCACAAGGCCTGCCCTCTTTGCACAAGGCTTAGCCTTTATGGGCATGCCCAGAACCTCGTCTTGCCTAGAACCCATCTCTCCTAGAACCTGTCCCACCCAGAACCCATCCCACCCAGAACCCGTCTCTGTTAGAACCTGTCCTACCCAGAACCCATCCCACCCAGAACCCGTCTCTCCTAGAACCTGTCCTACCCAGAACCCACCCTACCCAGAACCCATCCCACCCAGAACCTGTCTCTCCTAGAACCCATCTCTCCTAGAACCTGTCCCACCCAGAACCCATCCCACCCAGAACCTGTCTCTCCTAGAACCCACCCTACCCAGAACCCATCCCACCTAGAACCCACCCTACCCAGAACCCACCCTACCCAGAATCCATCCCACCTAGAACCCGTGCTCTCCTAGAACCCTTCCTACCCAGAACCCACCTCACCTAGAACCCGTCTCACCTGGGCTTCTGGCTGAACTTGCATTTACACTTTCCACCTGTTGGAGACGGGTGTAGTCAGAGAAAGGAACACACAGTCCCTTCCCTGTTCAACCCCCCCCCACGGCCCTTCCGGTACTCACTCATAAGGACAATGATGCCCACAGCACAGAGAATCCCTGCACAGATGAGCCCGCCGACTCGGAGGCTGTACCAATCTGAGAGGGAAACAGGAAATGTCGAAGCTAGCCCAGGTCCCCACCCCCCATCTATCTCCTCACTCGCTTGCTGGCAGTTAAAGGGAAAAGCAAAACCCCAGCCCAGGAGTGCACACATTGCAGCTCAGATCCAAGCAAACAAGATATCCCATGTCCGTCCAGGGACAGAGAAGCCATCTGAAGGAGGACAGGACGTCAAGATGTGGGTCTTTAGAAAGAGGGGTCGAGCTCGGGCTCTCTGAGAAGGTCCCACTGGAACGCAGATCTGCAGAGAGACAGGTGGCCCGGAAGCCAGTGGTCCAGGCAGAGGGACCAGCAGGTGCACACAGGTCATGAGATTGGCAGTTGCCTTCTGTATCTGAGGATGATAGCTGGAGGGGGGAGGGGTCAGTGGAGAACGAGAGGGCGCGGGGGGGGGCAAGCGACAGGTCCTGGTTGGAGCTGGAAGTGGAGAAGAGTGGGGTTAGAATCCCCTACCGCTGGGCATTGGTGGCGCACACCTTTAATCCCAGCACTCGGGAGGCAGAGGCAGGCGGATCTCTGTGAGTTCGAGGCCGGGCTGGTCCGACAGCCTCCAAAACAACACAGAGAAACCCTGTCTCGTAAAACCAAAAAAAAAAAAAAAAAAAAAAGGATCCCCCGCCTTCTCTGGGAAGATTTCCATGGCCAGCATTCTGGTGGTTGATCTAAACCGAATACCTCTTGTAGACTGGATTCAGTCCTGTGTCTGCTTGAATTCCCCCTTACGGCTGATTCCTTTAACCTATCTGGATGCTCAACAAGCCTCTCCTATCCTGGCCCCTGGGTCACTGTGAACTGTCAGCCCCCCTTGTGTGGGACGCTTGGCATAAAATAATGTGTAGGACTGGGAAGAAGGGGGGGCGGTTCTTACCATAGTAGAAAGGGCTGTCCTTATCTGCAAAGAGAGACGGGACACACACCGAATCAATCTGAGACAATAGCAGGGGTGTGGGGTAAGGGGGAGGGAGGGGTGGACTCTGACTCACCTTCGGGGTCATTGGCATCCAGAGAAGGCAGGCCTGTGGGGACAGGTAAGGACAAGTGATGACTATGGTGGCCTTAGAAGAGCCCTCAGCAGGATCCATGGAGGTTTGTTGCCTGAGGAAAACGTTCCACGGGGAACAGCCCCACCTCCAAAGTGCACACGGTTTAGCCGCTAGTTAGTCCCACATGGACACGCCTTCATGGAGATGTGGGCTCAGCCGGGCGTTGGTGGCGCACACCTTTAATCCCAGCACTCGGGAGGTAGAGGCAGGCGGATCTCTGTGAGTTCGAGGCCAGCCTGGTCTACAGAGCGAGTTCCAGGATAGCCTCCAAAGCCACAGAGAAACCCTGTCTCAAAAAACCAAAAAAAAAAAAAAAATGTGGGCTCACCTGCCCACCCCCCACCTGGACACGCCTTCATGGAGATGTGGGCTCACCTGCCCACCCCCACCTGGACACGCCTTCATGGAGATGTGGGCTCACCCGCCCACCCCCCACCTGCAAGTCATGCCAGCATTTTGCCGCCGGAAACAGATCCGATTCCGGGTAGGTTTTGGCACTGTCTGAATGCTTCCAGATGCTCGACTGGGCCACGCCTCCTGCTGTGGAGAGGCTGTGCCCTTCCCGTTAGCAGATGGTTTCTGTTCCCAGGACAGTTTCCTCCACCCCAGCAGTGCCCGCAGTCCTCACAGCTACACCCCACAGTCAGCAGGGTGGGGCTGAGGTCTTTGAAATAACTCACAGTTGGCAACTTCAATTCGTTCTTACATCCCTTTCCCAAATAGAACGCAACCCATGCCCAAAGAATGGTTAAGTAAAAAACAGAAAGGGCTGGAGGGGAGTGGATAGACGGTCCAGTGGTTAGGGACGCTGATTGCTCTTGCAGAAGACCCAAGTTCAGCTCCCAGCACCCACGTGACTCCCAAACATCTGTAACTCCAGTTCCAGGGGATCTGATGTCCTCTCCTGGCTTCCGTAGTCACCGAGCACCCAAACGGCAAAACACCCATATGCCTAAAGTAAGTTTTTGTTTAAAGTGGCTGACTCCTCGGAAAAGGTGCCCAAAGTTGTCCCCTGGCTGCCACACATATAGCGAGCACGCACAGCCACGCATGCACAAAAGAGGCAGAGGGAGGAAAGGAGAAAATTCTCCCTGAGGCTTGTTTAGCTTCATCCGGGCCTGAGCTCTGCTAACGGGAGAAAAAAACAAACAAAATAAAACAATGCTTAATTATATTGGAGGCACGGACGCCTGGGGCCCACTCCACCCAGAGCCTGTCATACTGACGTCCAAACATTAACGCGTTGAAGCCTCACAAAAACCCCTGTGACGAAGTGCTGTTCTCTGTGTTTTCAGAGGAGGGGGAAACTGAGGCACGAGGTATTCCAGCCACCTACTACATCGCTGCACCCAGGGTCCTAGGTGTAGGAAGGGAGACCGTGACACACAAGCGTACCGGGCTTGCTGTCATCGAAAATTAAATGGCATCGCCCCAGGGGAAATACATGCATGAACGTGCGTGCGTGTGCGCGCGCACACACACACACACGTGTACACACACACACACACACACACACAGCTGAGAGGTCCAAGGGAAAGGGCAGCTTGGCGGCCTGACACTCACCTGCTAGGAGGGCCAGCAGGCTCAGAGCCACCTCGTGCATGTTGTAGCGCGTGTCTAGAGGAGTCCAGAGAACAGGCTTTAGCAGAGCGGCCAGGGCGCAGGGCCTGGCAACTTAGCTTGTCTATCTCGCACCTGTTGCTCGCCAGGAGCACAGCCCAAGGTACACACAGGAAGGCTGGTAGTGACTGAAGCTCACCGGGCCAGGAGATAAGGAGCCCCAAAGTCAACCGGGGGCTGGGTGAGCGCTCAGGCTCCACGTAGGAACAGCCATTGTCATTCCCGCGACAGCAACCTTAGGTTTTACGGTAATGAGTCTGTTCTCGGAGGGAAGAGGTGGAGGGGTGTTTTGCTTGAATTTGCCATTCTCCTGCCCCAGCGATCCAAGTGCTAGGATTGGAGGCGCGCACCTCCACATCCGGCGTGTGGTCCCTATCTGTGTGATGGGGGAAACTGAGGCTCTGAGGGGTAAAGCTGACGCCCACGCTCACCTGGTCCAGGAGGCAGGGCTTCAAACCCGCCTCGTTCCCCGATAGCTGTTCGGAACTAGAACTGGGAGAGCCTCGGGTGTTTTGGGGGAGCGGAGCGTCAGGAGCCAGGTGGCAAGAGGCCCGGGTTCCGGGAGTGGCTCCCACAGACAGCCTGGAGCCTGCCCTGCTCTGCCCACACGCTGCAGGCTTCTCGCTGGGGCCCGCGCTGGCTCCCTGGGCCCCTGGGTGGGTGTTCGGCAGGAATGACGCCAAGTTGGTGGCGTGTGCAGAGGGGACCCTGGGTTTAGTCTAACCCCCATCTTCTGCCCCACCCTTAGGCCTGTCCCTTCAGACCCCACGGAGCGTTCTCCCGGGGCCCAGCTCAAGTCCGGTCTCTGCCTGCTACCCTGGCCCTCACCCTTGACCAGGCCTCTGCGCTGGCTCCTTGTCCCAGCCGCCGGCCCTGTTGGGCTTCTCTCAGCCGCAAACACTGCGTGGTTCCCCAGTGAGACTCACTCAGCACAGGGCCCCTTCCATACTGACCTAACAGTCTGCTTTCCGCTACCCTGGAGACCTGCAATCAGCTCCTTCTCTCTGTGCAACCCCTCACCTCTTTTTTTTTTTAAGGTTTTTTTTTTTTTTTTCCAGACAGGGTTTCTCTGTATTGTGTTGGAGGCTGTCCTGGAACTTGCTCTTGTAGACCAGGCTGGCCTCGAACTCACAGAGATCCGCCTGCCTCTGCCTCCCGAGTGCTGGGATTAAAGGCGTGCGCCACCAACGCCCGGCTAACTCCCCTTCTTGTCCTGCTCACCTGTCAGGAGCTCATGTGCGTGTCCACACACACACACACACACACACACACACACACACACACTAAGATAGTGAGTGTTAACACTTGTCCCCATTCCCCGCATACTGGACACTGTCCAGTGACCTTGCAGGTTCCTTTTTAACCCCTAGCAGCAGCCCCAGCGTCATCCTTGAGAGCTAACCCTTTCTACCCACACGGAAGCCCACACTTGCAAGGAATGGAGCCAGCCCCTGATGGTGCAGGGGTGTCTCATATGCTCACACAGACGTCTCCATTTCCCTAGGCTCACCCCACCCCAGAGGCCTGGGAAGTCCTTCAGTTTCTCTAACTCATCTAAATCGGTTCAGGCTTGTCGTGCAAGCTACCAGGGAGGCTGAGGCAGAAGATACGCGAATTCACAGCCAAGCTAGAATACAGAGTACAAGGCCAGTCTGAACAATTTAGTGAGGTGTCCCAAAATAAAAAGTAAGAAAGGGAGGGAGGTGCAGCTCAAGGGTAGAGCCCCTGCCTAGAATCCCCCAGTGAGGGGCTGGGGTGTGGCTCAGTGGTAGAGCCCCTGCCTAGAATCCCCCAGTGAGGGGCTGGGGTGTGGCTCAGTGGTAGAGCCCCTGCCTAGAATCCCCCAGTGAGGGGCTGGGGTGTGGCTCAGTGGTAGAGCCCCTGCCTAGAATCCCCCAGTGAGGGGCTGGGGTGTGGCTCAGTGGTAGAGCCCCTGCCTAGAATCCCCCAGTGAGGGGCTGGGGTGTGGCTCAGTGGTAGAGCCCCTGCCTAGAATCCCCCAGTGAGGGGCTGGGGGCGTGGCTCAGTGTGTATAAAAACGCTAGCTGTGGCAGCTGGCTCCTACTGAGCGCCCATGCAGACTTTTTTCTCAGTGTGACCCTGACTCCCTCACATTCTCTTCACAACTGTCGTTACTGCTCCCGGCAGCCACAGCTGTCGCCTCTGAATTCACCTTAACGTGGTACGCTGCCATCATGGCTGCCGGGTCTCACCTCTCCCTACAGACCCACAGTCTCCCGTTCCCACAAGACACACAAAACCTGAGAGCCTGGACAGGGTGGGGAAGACAGGTGTTCCATCTGCAGCCCCGGTGCTGCGGGCTCTACCCTGGTGCTTGCAGGGCTGCGGGGAACCAGAAACCGCGGCTGTCCACCCTCGCTGTCCCGCCCTGCAAGTGCTGTTCCCTGAGGAGGGCCTGCCTGCTTCTGAGTGAACACGGCACAGAGGGCGAGCCCTTTGCCTGGGACGCTACGCACCCATGTGCCCCAAAACCCGTTCACCCCGACACAGCCCCCCAGCTGCTTCACCCCTCCACACATTTCAACGATTCCTTGTCTACTCAGTCACCCCTAGACACCCCTCCACGCCTCACCCACTGAGAAGCCCCAATCGTGATACCGTAAGTGTAATCACTTCCTGTCCACCCTGACACCCCCACCGGCAAGCCCGGGCTTCTCATCTGCTCAGGCCCCCCTCCCCCACGCAGTCCTCCCTGATTGCCACTGTGGACACCGGGTGGGTTACCCCGGCCGTCCCACAGAGTAGGGAGCTGTGAGGAACAGCCAGCTGAGGCAGGAGAGGGCTGTCTCCTGCCCCCAGAAAAGAAACCTTGAAGCGGGAAGGTTGTTGGTGTTGGAGTCTTCAACCCCAGTGTCTAGTAGCAGGGACGGTCAGAGGAGAGCTGGGGGTTGAGGGGGGGACAGAGGCGCTTGGGGGAAGGCCGCCCCCACACCCCGGGGCCGCTCACCTGAGTAGCTCCACAGGCTGAGAGGTGGTTCCGGGAGAAGGCAGAATGCGGACTGCCAAGCCTGGGCAGCCTTTATCCACAGCTGCCACGCCCTAGGCAAACCTGGGCAGGCAGGCACAAGTCAGGTCTCCCTGGGGCCAGGGACGCCCCCATCTCATTCCTCCCTTAAAGAGACAGCTCTCCCTGGTCTCTCGTCACAGTAGCCTCGGGTGAAGTGGAAGGGGGTCAGGGTGGGCTGGGGATTGGCGTCTTAGGAGCAGGGGAGATGCCTTGCCCAGTGTCCTGAGCTCCAGGGGACACCCAGCACTGGGTCGCTTCCAGGGCTCCTTAGTGACAATCCTTATCTTTTTGGAGGGACACGGTTAAAGCAGAACATCTATGTGATCCTTCTCGGATTCAGGTTTGGGGGTGACTTTTTGTTTGTTTGAGACAGGGTCTCACTATGTAGCCCTGGCTGGCCCGGAACTCACATTACAGACCAGGCTGGCTTTGGTGTCACCAGGATCCACCTGTCTCTGTCTCCCAAGTGCTGGGATTAAAGGTGTGCAGCGCCAGCTGTGGTTTTGTTTGGGGTGGGGTGGGGTTGTTGGCACTTGTAGGCATTAAAGCCCTTTGTCCCTCCTGGATCCTTTGTCGGCAAGGCTGAAAGACACTGTCGTGGTGGCCGAGGTTGTCATGTGAAGGAGACGCTTGCTCGGTGGGCAGATGTGGGGGTTGTGGTTCTTGGGGCGGGCTCGTAGACCAGGCCCTTGAAGACTGAGAATGGAACGGGCTTTGGGGCCCCAGCCTGTAGTCCCCGAGCCGAGCCGTGTTTCCCCGGAGCTGAGGATGCTGCCCAGTGGGTGTGGTGTGGCTGTCAAAACAGCCTTCCTCCCCTGCACGCAGCAAGCCCCCGCCCTGCCCTCCTCCCTCTCCTGCCTCCCCAGCTTCCGCCTAGGGTCTGTACAAGCCCCCACATGGTCCCTGTTGGGGGTGCCCCCTCCCCCCAAATTCCACCTCCTTACACAGAAGGACTGTTGTCTGGGGGCCTGGATGGAGAACAAGGCACCATTGAGTGGCTGGCAGAGGATTGGGGTCACCGGGAGGGGCAGGGCCAGGAAAGGGGCCGCTTCTATTCGGTTACCAGCTGGACTCCAGACGACCCCCAACACCACGGTGGGGGCGGTGGGGCGGAGCCCCAGAGGCACCAGGCTAGGGAGAAGCCGCTGTTGTGGGCATGGAGAGGACTAAAGGGGACTTAGGGTCAAAGGTCTGGGGGGCAAGGAAAAGGACCCCAGACACCCCCCTTCCCACCATGGCCTCCCTCCTTGGTGTAGCTCAGTTAGCTGCGTTGGCCTGTGTTCCCTGGGGGCAACTCCTGAGCTCCAAGTCCTAGCCAGGACAAGGTTTCCTGCCTCCCGTATAGGAACAAAATTCTCCCCGAGGGTAGGAGGCAGCCGCAGAGATAGAAACAGAGACGCCTGGCTGAGGTCTGGCCGGGGATGGAGCGCAGACAGAGGATCCCAGATCTGCTTAGGGGAATCTTTGTACCTAGCTACGTTAACATCCTTCCCCAAGCCAGGAACTTGACTGCCCCTCGGGAAAACAACCGAAACCTCCAAAACTCTTGGTGGTCGCGAGTGTAGGATGGTGCCTCCCTCTGCTGGACACTGTAGGAACTACAAGCACCGGAGAGAGCGGTACGGAGTAAGGGGGGGGGCTTGGGTCTCTCTGCCCTTCCTGGGTGCAAGGCCAGATGCTACAGGGAACAAGTGGAAAATCGTGAGTAAGTTGTGAGGCAGAAGACTATGAGATCATCCAGCACAGAGAGAATGGCCGTCTTGACTAAGATCGCTGGCGCCCTGTGGTCAGATGTAAGTGGACCTCCAGGGGTCTTACAAAGGGACCAAGGCTAGGTGTGAGTGTGTGTGTGTGTGTGTGTGTGTGTGTGTGTGTGTGTGTGTGTAATATCTCTGGAGAGTCACACCCGTGGGTGCGGGGGGGACCTGGAAGAAGGTGGAGATTGGACTTCCACTGCATATGTTGGAATTTTACATCCTAAAAATATACTATCTTTTTTAAAGGGTTAACGGAGGGGGCTGAAGAGATGGCTCAGCGGTTAAGAGTGCTCTTGAAGATGGCCTGAATTCTGTTCGAGGAACCCATGGCCCACGGAGATCCGATGCCTCTGGCCTCCGAGGGTACTGAGCACACATGCATATACCCACACAAAGACACATAGTTAAAAGTAAACTAAGTATGTTTTAGGCTGATTGAAACTGTTAAGGGAAAGGCAGTCTGGTACATATCTGTAATCCTAACATCTGGAAGGGTTAGGTCAGAAGAATTTGAGTATGAGACCAGCCCTAGGCTACACCGCAAGTCCTAGGTTAGTCCAAATGTGTTATAAGATCCTGTCACAGTTGTTAGAAGTATTAAGCAAAATTAAGTAATAAACTAAAACATACATTGTTCAGTGTCTACACGTATTGCCAGGATGCCCTTATGCCAAATGCTTGGCTGTTCAAGTCCCTTATTTACAAGGCTGTAGTATTTGCCCAGAATCTAGCTATGTCTGCTGTAGATTTAAAATCACCCTCAGAGTACCAGTAATATTCAATACAGTGGAAATGTCAGATAAATAGTCATTATTCTGTACAGCTATCCTGGCAATTGTGTCCACCCAGAGAGCCATGAATCCTGCCCAATACATTTGTAGAAGACGTCGTCACGTTGCAAGCTTCAGAGGTCAGACAGCTTCAGGAGATTGCGCCCTCCCTAACTTCTGTGAAGTGGATGAACTCTCCTCCTACACGGAGCCAGCAGGTGCAGAGGGATGACTGTGTATGCAATATCTTTTATAACAGCATATATTTATATTAATATAGATGATAAGGCTATTGGCAGTATCTCTCCTTCCTATTGCTTTATTTTATTTTTGGTTATGTGTGTGTGTGTGTGTGTGCACACACACGCACTTGCACCTGTAGTGCCTTCGGAGGTCAGAAGAGGACATTGGGTCCCCTGGAACTGAAGTTTCAGGCCTTTGTGAACCGCTCACCATCGGTGATGGGGGCGGAACTCGGTCCCTCTGCAGAGCAGGAGGAGTCCTTAGCCTCTGCATCACCTGTCCAGCGCCCTCATGTTGCTTTTTGTGGGTCGTTTGACCCAGGGTGACCCAGAGCCACCTGGGATGGGCTGTGGTTTCTCAGCACTGTGGGTGTTCTTACTTAATGCGGAAAAATCAACCCTCCGTGTGGTCCCTGAGTATCCCAACATTTTCAGGAATGCAATGAGAGCAGAGTCGGAGCCATGGGATTTAGCGAAGCAAGGAGGATGGGTCAAAGGGTCCGAGCCGGTGACTGAAAAGCTGTGTCCTCCTGGTCAAAAGAATGGAATCTACCTCTGGCCTTGGGTGGAGACAAGACATTCTGATCTGCTCCAAAGATTAGAACTTGGCATACATACCATTGTCTATCTGGGTTGCTTTTGCCGCTGTCACTCTGACCAAAAGTGACTTAGGGGAGGAGACGGGTTATTCCAGCTTTCAGTTCAGCACTGAAGGAAGTCAAAGCAGGAAGCTGAAGCAGAAACCATGGAAGGACACTGCTTGCCTGACTCGTTCAGTCTCGTTCTCAGCTGCCTCCCTGTGCAAACAGGGGTCACCTGCCCAGGGAACGGGGTCACCCACAAACGCACTGAGCTCCCTGGCACCATTAAGCAGCCAGGACAGTTCTCCACAGACACGCCCACAGTCCGACCTCAGCTGGGATTCCATTCTCAGGTTCCAGGCTGCAGTCGAGTTGACAGTTAAGGCTAACTGGCACAGTTCCCTCAAGGGTTAATCCGGCTGGGCCTGTCAATCACCCGGCCGGATCATCCCTCAAAAAGGCGATCCGCTAAAGCCATGCTGAGGAGATGGGGAGGAATAATTATCCCCTTAATGCGGTAGTGTGCTTATCCTTCGCTGAGGATAAGACGCTCGAAAGGCTTTCGTCTTTGTAGTCCTGCAGCCTAACAGTTTTTCTGAGTCGCCCTCCCTCAAAAGCGCGCTTTGTCCTTTCCTCAAAATCTTTTCCGTTCACGTGCTTGCCGAAAATCCCAAGCATGCTGGCACTCCGGGCTTCTTCCGCCCTTTCTCTGAAGCGCCCCTGCCTCTTCTCCCATGCAGATGCTCACAGACCTCCATTGCCAAAGAGGTGGCTCTCTCGGGCCCTCTTCCCCATCCCCTTCCTCCGGCGGCTGCGGGAGATCAACGGCTTGCCTGACCTGATGTTTGTTGCCTAGCCTCTACTAAAACTGCCCTCGAACTTCCTAGGGTGACTTGAAAATAAAAATGCCCCCCACCCCCTTAGACTCATAGGGAGTGGCACTACTAGGAGGTGTGGTCTTGTAGGAGTGGGTGTGGTCTTGCTGGAGGGGTGTGGCCTTGCTGGAGGGGGTGTGTCTTTGAGGTCTCAGATGCTCAAGCCGGTTCACTTCCTGCTGCCTGCTGATGCCGATGTAGAATCCTCAGCCTCCTGTCCCGCATCATGACTAATTGCGTGCCGCCATGATGACGATGGACCAAACCTCCGAACTGTAAGCCAGCCCCAAGAAAATGCTGTCTCTTCACAGCAATAAAACCCTAATATGACGTTTCCACCTGAGTCTGTTTTAAAACTCTTTTATTTTTGAGTGGAAGAACGCCAGGAATGGAGGGCTCAGGTCCTCCTGCTGTGTGAGTATGCTTACCGTTGGAGCCATCTCTGCACCCTAAAAGTGTTTTGTTTGTTTGTTTGTTGTTGTTTTGTTTTTTCGAGACAGGGTTTCTCTGTGCCTTTGGAGGCTGTCCCGGAGCTCACTGTGGAGACCAGGCTGGCCTCGAACTCACAGAGATCCGCCTGACTCTGCCTCCCGAGTGCTGGGATTAAAGGCGTGCGCCACCTACGCCCCACTAAACGTGTGTTTTTAACTTGTGTTTTGTGGATAGATGTTTTGCCTGAATGTATGTATATGCGTCATGTGTGTGCAGTGCCCACAGAAGTCAGAAGAGGTCTTGGACCCCTGGAACTGGAGTTACAGACGGTTGTGAGCCACCGTGTGGGTGCTGGGGATTGAACCTGGGTCCCTGGAAGAGCAGCCAGTGCCCCTAACTCCTGAGTCACTTCCCCAGCCACTTAAAAGCGTATTTTTTATGATGACCTCTCCAGATTTTCCAAGAAGCCGACTTTCAACTTTTTTTGTGTGTGTTTTAATTTGTGTTTTGTTTTTGAGATGGGGCTGAAAGTGTAACCCAGACTGGTCTTGAACTCATGACCCTCTTGCCCTCTGCTGGGGCTACAGGTGCGCAACCACCTCGCCTGCTGATACAGGCTGCAGACCAGACAAATGTGTCCCGTGGTTGAATGTGGTCCTGAGGCTGCCGGTGTGAGCTCTCCAGCCAGTCAAACTGAGGAGAGCCGCAGCCCACCCCAGCTGTCAATCACCCCCAGGGGAGTCGCTACTGTTTCCAGAATGATCCGGGGGAGGAGCTTGGCGCAATTCCATCCACTTGGGATCTCTTCCCCTTTAAGTGCCCAGCTCGTTCCTTCACCCTTGATTCCGGCAACCTGGAGGCCCCTGGTCTGAATCCAACCACTGTTAAGTTTCCTGTACTTTCACAGTGTTACCAAAAAAGTGAACAATTGCCGCTGCGGGGGCAGCGTTGGTCTGTTGGGAGTTTGATTCGCAGTGGAAGGATGCTGAGAGGCGGGGCCTTAGATCCACAGGCGTGGTCTGTTCTAAAAGCAAAGCCTCTCGCTGCTTCCTCCCTTCTCTTGCTCTTCCATCCTCTGCCCTGGGGTGATGAGACCAGAAATCCCTCACCAGAGGCTAGCACCACACTCTGAGCTTCCCAGCCTCCAGAACCATGAGCCAAACACGGACCAGTTGATTCTAAGAGACCCCGCTCCAAGTATTCTGTTAGGACAGCAGAAAATGGAGCAAGACCGGTGGTAACATTTAAAGACCAGGCTGGGGGCCGGAGAGATGGCTCAGAGGTTAGGAGCACTGGTTGCTTGCTCTTCCAGAGGTCCTGAGTTCAATTCCCAGCAACCACATGGTGGCTCACAACCATCTGTAATGAGATCTGGTGCCCTCTTCTGGCTTACATGGATTCATGCAGGCAGAAAGCTGTATACATAGTAATAAATAAATCTTTAAAAATAATAAAAATAAAAATAAAGACCAGGCTGTTTCAACACAATGAGCGCTGTATTCCCTGCTTCTCCAGGGAGGTCTGGCCTAACTGGACCAAGTATCACCTGGCAGCAACAGTTAAGAGTGAGGTTTGTCTCCCCAGGGTGACCCAACCGGGTTCCACGTCCTTGGTTTTCATTGAGGTTCGCTCTGGTTCCAGACTGGCTCCTGACCCCAGACAGGGGCATCTTTTGGGGATGTCTGTGCAGCCAAGCCCCCCCCCCAGGATGTCACTGGAGCATTGAAAACCAGGGCATACCTGCCCACGGTGAAGAGAAAGAAGGAAATATTATGGGCTTCCTCCCCACTCCCAAAGGCTTTGGCAAGTTAATTGACAAAAATTCCTCGGGGCTGGACATGACCTGTAGAGCCTGTTACCCCAGTACTGGGGAGGCTGAGACAGGAAGATCGGGAGTTCAAGGCCAGCCTGTGCTACATATCAAACACTGTCTTAATAATAATAATAATAATAATAATAATAATAAAATCAAACAGCTCAGACAAGAAGGCTCTGTGAGGAGAAGTGATTGCAGCCAAGCCTGATGACCCAAGTTCAAGTCCTAGGCCCCACGTGGTAAAAGATGAGAAGAAATTCCTGCAAGCTGCCCTCTGGCCTCTGCCTGTGCATTGTGGCACACCCCACACATATATAAACACAGGACCAATCAAGTCTTCCTGTAAAGCCAACGGGGAGGACAGACAGACAAAAGGAGGAGTACCTTGACTATAGCAAAGGCTTTGTGGGGGGAGAACCAGAAATTTTAGGCCTTAGGTTGGCCACTGCTGGGGGTAGGCAGAGAAAAGAATTAAAGAACTTCATTTAGCTGGGCGATGGTGGTGCACGCCTTTAATTCCAGCACTCCGCACAGGTGGGTGGATTTTCAGAGGCCAGCCTGGTCTACAGAGTCCAGGACATCCAGGGCTAACAGATAAGCACCCCTCAGGGCCAGCCATTACCCAGGACCCACGGGGCAGGAAGGGCAAGAATTCAGAAAAATGAAGGCAGGTAAGGAGATACACACCTTCAATCCCAGCACTCAGGAGGTGAAGGCTGATGGGTCTTCAGGACAGCCAGGGCTACACAGTGAGAGCCTGTTTCAAAAGAAAAAAAAAAAGACTTTATAAAAACAAGTTGCTTTAGTTTTGGGGGGAGGGTATTGTCATTGTTTATGTCACGTGGGGGCGGAGGGCTTTCAGAACTGGTGTGGTCCAGCCAACTGTTTTCCCTCGTTTCTGTTGGGTAGGAGAAAAGGGGCTTCAGCTGCTGTCCTAGCTGTTTTCTGCTGAACAGGGCGGAGTCCTCATCAGGGGAGTCTTTATTACTGGGCTTTTTGAGGAGGGGGAGGAGGAGGAGGAGGAAAGGGGGGAGGAGGAAGAAGAGGAGGAGAGTAGGGGGGAGGATGCCCATCCTTAACACAAAACAGTATTAATCACAAGACCAACACACTGTGTCGAGAGAATGAGGATATTTGGGCTGGACTAACCCTGGGCCAGTGAGGTGGCCCCCAGGGAAAGGAGTTGCTGCCAAACCCGGAATCCATCGTTGAACCCTGGCCACCCATGGTGGAAAGAGAGAGGTGACTACTGAAAGTTGCCCTCTGCCCTCTGACCTCCACAGGACACACACACACACACACACACACACACACACACACACGAAATGTGATTACATTTTTAAAAAAGAAGAATCATCTAAAAGTTAAAGAATTAGCTGGGCAGTGGTGGCGCACGCCTTTAATCTCAGCACTCGGGAGGCAGAGGCAGGCGGATCTCTGTGAGTTCGAGACCAGCCTGGAATACAGAGCGAGTTCCAGGACAGCCTCCAAAGCCACAGAGAAACCATCCCCCCAAAATAAATTAAAGGAAAAATGTTAAAGAGTTTAGTTGAGGGCAAGAAATCATATTTATGCGTGATCTATATATTACGTATATTTCTGTATATTAAACACCTTACGTATTGATCTCGCCCTAGATAAAAGCTTTTTTGTTCTACTGCCTCATAGTCTTTGCTCGAGGATCAGTTTCCAGCCAGTGACCCCTGGCTACCAACGCCCTGTCCTGACTTAACCCCTTGCATGTGTGGCCGGGGCCTGAGGCTGTGGGGACAGTGAGTGTGCAGATCTCGGTGCTGGGCTGGCATCTCTGCAGCCTGCTGGCAGCCTGGCACCCTCAGCCACTCTGAGCCTCCTTGCCCTGATCTCTGAGCATGCCTGAGCCAGGCACACCCGCCCCTGTGGCTGATTCTCCTGGCGTTTGCAAGGGACTGTCCCAGTGCCTGTGGCTCTCGGGCAGGCTGTGACTGGCTTAGTGACTTGTGACTCGGGGTCAGATCCGGGTCTTGTGTGCGTTCAGTGGGATGACAAAGGACAACAGAGTCCCATTGAGCCCACCCCACCCCACCCCCCAGGACAGACAGAGTCAGAGAAGAGCCTCTTCCCAAGAGAATGTTCCAGAAGCAGGCTCCCATCCCTCACTCCACTGTCCTCACCCACACCCAGCTTCTTACCCATCAACCTGAGTCACAGCAGCCTCTGCCCGGTCCCCTGTCCCTGTCCGCAGTCCCTGTGTTCTGTCAGCTACAAGCAGAAGAAGCCTGTCCCACCGAATAGGGTCCCACGGCCCTGCCCAGAGGCATCTCATTCCGGCTAAAAGCTGAGGCCTCAGTGTCACTGTGTGTAAGTCCCCCATCTGCTGCTCCTCCCGTATGCCAGCCACCCAGGTCCCCTGGCCTTTGGGCGTCGGTCAAGCATCTTTCCTAAGGGTGCATTCATTCTGCCCCCTCCCCCATCTTCATTCTCCTCGCTGGGCTCCACTCCGGCACTGCCTTCCCATTTAAATCACTGTGTGTGTGTGTGTGTGTGTGTGTGTGTGTGTGTGTGTGTGTGTGTGTCTCAAGTCAACACTGGCTGTCTTCCTCTGTCACTTAACTTTGCATTTGGAGCTCAGAGATCTGCTGGACTGGCTGGTCCGTGAGCTCCAGGGACCCCCTCTTGTCTCCCCACCCCCCAGCTCAGACCGCAGTCACACTGAGGGAGTTAGGAGGTACACAGGCTCCCTGGGAGACAGACAGACAGACAGACAGGGGGACAACCCTTGGGGAGTCAACGAAGTCTGGCATACCAAGTTGAAGGCAGGACCAAGCCCCTCCCTCCTGGATCAAGGCTGAGCAAGGCATCCCCACCATAGGGAATGGGATCCAAAACGCCAGTTCAAGCACCCAGGATAAGTCCTGGTCCCTTTGACAGCCCCCCTTCCCCCACCCGACAGATCAAGCCACAGGACTGTGACGCACGTGCCCAGGGCCGCGTTCAGTCCCGTAAAGGTTCCCCAGCGGTGAGTCCAGAGTCTGTGAGCTCCCACTAGCTCGGGTCAGCTGTCTCCATGGTTTTCCCCATCATGATCTTGACCACTACCCCCCCACCCCCCCCCTCATATGCTACATGATGAACTTCCAAGATGGCCGACTTCTCCCCTTCTCCTACCCGAGACAAAGGCTGGCAGCTAAACCAAGGTCTGGTGGGGGTCCCTTTCTCCTGCCAGTAGGGTCCCCAAGAGAGGGACTGACTCACCAAGGTCAAGGCTAGACCAGGACCGTTTGAGCAGCTGTGAGCAATCAGCCAGCCTGTCTTTCTCCAAACCCACTAACCCTAAATTAGGGGAGGAAGACCCTTCAGACTTAGAAATCCCAGGCCTCAAGGAGAAACTGTGTGTGTGTGTGTGTGTGTGTGTGTGTGTGTGTGTGTGTGTGTGTGTGCATGCCTGTGTGACTTTTCTTTGTGTATCTGCTGTGGCCATATTTCTTCAACTGCCGAGTCTGTCTGCTGCTGTCTGCACCGTTGACGATTTCTCTGAGGCTGTCTGTAGCGCTTGAGGTTTTTTGTGCCTTTTCATTCTTTAACTGTCAGAGAAAACAAACCCAACTGAGATTCCTAGACCGTAGCAGCACCATGTCTAGCTTTTTCTCTTTTTGGAGATTTATTTTGTTTTGTGGCTGTCACTGTTTTATTTTTTGAGACTTTTTTCCTTTGTGTGTGTATTTTGCTTGCACATATGTCTGTGTACCACGTGTGTACAGTGCCAAGAAGACCAGAAAAGGGTATAAGAGTCTCTGGAACTGGAGTTACATGCAGATGGCTGTGAGCCACCATGTGGGTGCTGGGAATCGAACCTGGGTTCTCTGGAAAGCTATTAAGAATAGTCAGCGTTCTTAACCACTGAGCCCTCTCCCCCAGCCCCTCAAAGTCCACTTTCTGCCTGATATCACTTCCTGGCACACAATTTAATATCTGGGTATTAATTGTGTCTCTTTCCCTTCTGAAAGGGACTGAGGAAGGGGCTTGGCTGTCTCCCGAGCTGCCACCTGCCCCAAACGGAACACACAGGTACCTGACAAAAGCTCAGAAATGTTTTCTGAGCAGCCGAGTGAGTTTTGGTGTCCCACACCCCACAGCATGATTCAGGCCCCCATCTTTCTGAAGACAGGCACCACTGCAGAGAACACAGTAAGCCTGTGCAGGTGGAGAGGGCGGGAACTCACAGCCAGGCCCCTGGGATCCAACCCCAGCGATGACATTTCTCCTCATATGGCCCCGGGCCCGCACGGCCCGCACAGCCCTCAGGCGGGTCCTCAGTTTCCCTTGAGGCAACTGGGATAATAATAGCCAGTCCTCCGCGGGGCTGCCCTTTTGGCTTCAATAGGACTGTTGTGTGGGATACAGACAGCATGACTAATCCTGGAAGCCGGTTCCCTTCCTGGAAGGGGGTGGGGCGGGAGGGGTGGAGCTGTGGAGCTTTCAACCATCAACAAAGGAACCCTTGTGGGCAGGGGCCCTCAGGGGGAGGAAACATAGCCAGCCCTGTGGGTCCTGGACAAAAGTCCCAGGTCTCAGAGAGGATTACCAAGGCCTCCACATTCTTTGAAGACTGCAACAAGAAATACTGGTTTTTGGAAGAGGAGGACACTGTAGTGTCCTGGGCTTTACTGTGTCCCTCTCTTCACAGCCGTGAATCTGGGGAGAGGTTGCCCCTGAGAGCTTTCTATAAGCCGATATTAAGTCTCTCTGCTGACCAGGCCGAATTAATAAATCCAGGGTTAACGTGAGCGCAGTGTCTCCGGGTGGTCCCAGGGGAAGGGGAGAAAACCAAGAGGGGAACCGTGAGGATGGGGGGCTTTTAATGCCCTCTGGGGAAGGGGGTAGAGTGCCCACAGCAGCAGGGTGGCTCACATACCCTGCCAGGGGGTGTCTCCGGGCCTATGCATTTGTTCACATGGGACAGCCATGCTGGACCAGGCCACTGAGCCCAAAGCACAAGTCACAGACAGCCCTCCTGATAGGGTGCCAGGCGGCTGTGTCAAGAGGCCATGTGTGCTCAGGAGCTGGGGTGCGAGCCTCAGAGCTGACAGAGGCTGTGTGGAGAGCAGGCTGGGGTAGAGGAAGACATCCTGGGCTCCATGACAGCTCCGTGAGCGTTGCTTGGCTGGAGGCATTCCCTACCAGAAGAGTGCCACCACCACAGGAGCGGAGGGTGATTGAAAGGGCGGAGGGCCGCCGAGGGACCGCTAAGAAGATGCGGTGGCCATGGTGATGGTGATGATTGACAGAGGAAGTATTGGAGGTGATAGTTGTTGTGGGTAAAGCGCAGTGAGCCTTCGCGGATTCCGTGGTCGGAGAGGGTGACCGAGGCTAGGGACACACACGCCAAGCAGACAGAGCTTGGGTGAGAAGTTTTATTAGGAAGGGAAGGGGTGGGGGGAAGGAAAGAGAAAAGAGGAGAAGAGACACAGAGACAGAGGGCAGAAGAGGAGAGGGAGACAGGAAAAGTCCTGTCTGCCCCAGGGGGACAGCGGGAAGAGAGGGAGAGTATGTAAGTGGGCGGGGTCTGTCTTTTAAAGGGTCCTTTGCACCTGCGTGCAGACTAGTTGTCATGGAACCCTGGGCTGACCAGGGTACCGCCTGAGTGCACTCTGCCAGGTGACAGGGGCGGGCCAGCAAAATGCCTGAATCCTCACCATGGTGTAGGTGATGCTGGTGGTGGTGATTATGGTGCCAGTGATGGTGGCTGACGGTGATGACGGTGGCGGTAGAGCGGAGGTTGGAGTAGTGGTGATGGTTGTGGTGGGGGTAGCGGTGATGATGGCCACAGGGTTGGTTCTTGTGCCAGGAGCCTTGGAAAGGGCCTGAAGCTATTTGTCAGCTCTTCAGGGCTGGCGTGTGACTCAGCTGTGGCTCCCTTGCCTCTCATGCAGGTCTGCATTCTGTCCTCAGAGCTGCAAAAGTAAATGTGACCTGTAATCCCGACTAAGGGAAAAGAAACAAACAGGAACTCCGCCGGGCGCCGCCGCTGCTGCCGCTGCGTGGGGCCTGTCCCTGTCCCTGGAAGACTCCACACGTCCCGTGTCCCTGCCAGCGGCTGGGAGGGAGATCACAGGGTCTCTCGGCAGGGCCACCTCCAGGCCTGCTTTCCTGCCTTGTCCTGGCCAGCCTTCGCTGCCAGCCTCTGCAGCTCTTGGTGCCCTGTTGGAAACAGTGAAGAACCTCAGGCCAAAGTCCTAATCGGTTTTTGTCCTGACTCAGTGTGAGCAGCCATCAGATCACAGGTTCTGCAGTTTGCTTGTTGGGCTTCGAATTTCAGCTCTGTCACCTGGGCAGCTCTTCCAGGGTGGGTCACCCTGCCCTGTGGCCACCAGCCCCCTGCAACCAGGGCAGCCCCCGTGTCTTCAGGGGCTCAGAAACCATAGGTGTCCTGAAGCTATGACACTCAGTGTTTGTTTGTTTCCTTGAGATAAGGTTTTGCTCTATAGCCCAGACTAGACTGAACGATCCTCCTGCTTCAACCTTCCAAGCACTAGGCTAACAGGCCTTCCCCACCCCCCTCCTCCCCACCCAGGATTCATCCACTGTTTACAGAGTTACTGAGGCTGGCAGCTGCATCGAATGTGGCAGGATCAAACTGTGGGCCGCCGTGTGTTTCCCGTGCCCCTTCTAGTGGTAACAGAAGGGGGAGCATTTGCGATGCTTTTTTTTAACCTGTTTCTCTGGGGCGTCTGCTCTTCACGACAGCGAGCCTTTAACATGCTGGATCTCTCACGACTGCACAGGTGGATGTGGGGGCCTCACTCTTGACCTTGATGTTTTTTTTTTTTTAAGGGAAACAGGCACCGAGGTGCTAAGTAACTTTCCCAAGGGCACACAGAGAGTGGCAGAGCCTGGTTCTCACCAAGGCAGCCTGGCTTTGGGATGTGGATTTCCCTCAGTGCTGCAGAGGTGAGTGGAGGCATTCCTTACCTTGAAGGAGAATGGAATGATCTGTAATCCCAGGACTTGGGATAGGCTGAGGCAGGAGGATATAAGATCAAGGCAAGCCTGGGCTGCATAGTTTGGGACCCTGCCCAAAAAAAAAAAAAAAAAAAAAAGGCAGCAGCAGAGCCAGTCCTGGTAATGTGGACATGCACCCTCAGCTACACCGGAGTTGAGGATAGAGCATGGGAAGCTCACACCAAGCAGGGACAGCTTAGCAAAATAGAAAACACAAAAAGGGGTTAGGGATACAGCTTAGTAGAAAGTCCCTACCTAGAATCCCCCAGTGAGGGGCTGGGGGTATGGCTCAGTGGTAGAGCCCCTGCCTAGAATCCCCCAGTGAGGGGCTGGGGGTGTGGCTCAGTGATAGAGCCCCTGCCTAGAATCCCCCAGTGAGGGGCTGAGGGTGTGCGTCAGTGATAGAGCCTCTGCCTAGAATCCCCCAGTGAGGGGCTGGGGTGTGGCTCACCGATAAAGGTCTTGTCTTAGATGCACAAAGCCCTGGCTTTAATCCTTGGAACTGGAAATCATGGTCACAATGACTGTGACTGCTGAAATTGCTTAGTTCTCTTGACAAAGATGACCTGGCAGCCAGGCAAGGACACGGGAAGTAGACATTTGTCCTTTGGGCACTGGCTAGTACCTAGTGCCACCACTAACCTCATCCCAGCCTCTGCCAGGCCATCTCCCCAGGGGCCAAGCCTGGGTCAGGCAGACACCAATTGGAGAACCCTGTCCCCAAGCCACAGGACACATTCAAGAAGGAGCCAATCAAAGCTGCCGTGGCACTATGAACTGATGTTTGGGTTTCCTGGGGACTCTTTCTCTTGCCGGGCAGAACCCGAGGGACTGCCAAGTATGTTCTGGAAGATTGTGCCTGCGGGAGGAGCCAGTAGGGTGGGAGTCACCGAGGCGGCACTGATAATGGCACGGCTGGAGTACCTGAAGGAGCCAAAGCTGAAATCCCACCAGCGTTCACGAGGGAAGCCATCCCAACTGACAGGTGGGAGGAGGCGGTGGGCGTGGGCTGTCAGGTGGGAAGGGCAGTGGGCGTGGACTGTCAGGTGGGAGGGGCAGTGGGCGTGGACTGACGGTAGGGAGGAGGCAGTGGGCGTGGACTGTCAGGTGGGAGGGGCAGTGGGCGTGGACTGACGGTAGGGAGGAGGCAGTGGGCGTGGACTGTCAGGTGGACGAGGCAGTGGGCGTGGACTGTCAGGTGGGAGGGGCAGTGGGCGTGGTGAAATCCAGGGCGAGTGCCCCTTGCCACCCGCTGCCTGGCTTTTGCTAGGGTTCATGCGGAGGTCTTGCACCTGGACCTACTTTGTTAGTTCCTCTCTGCTGTGTACAGACTCTCCGCCAGCACAGCACCCCCAAAGGGGGAGGAGCACAGCGGTCACAGAGACAGGTCTCCACGTGGACCAGGCCACCTGCCAGCTCAGTTGCAAGCCTGAGTAGCCCCACCCCGCGGAAGGCAGGCAATGAAGGCTCAGCGGACTAGGCTGGGAGAGCAACTGGCTGGGGAAACGGGTATTGCAGCTGTGTGGTGGAGACAGCCGGTGTGGGAGCAGAGGGCACCTCCTGGGTTCCTCTGCTCCCACATTTGGACACAGGCATAGGTCTCATGCAGCATGACGGATATGCAAAGTGACACTAGTCCCAGGAGACGAGGAAGCCAGCGTCAGCCTCCTTAAGGCACTGCGGTGGACATCATAAAGCCACCAATCACATGTAGGGGTGAGTCTGTGTGCTTACCAGACTCCCAGGACGGGACCTGAGACGCCCTGTCCTAGTTTCTTTTCCATGCTGAAATAAAACGCCATGACCAAGGCGATTTATAGAAGGGTTCATTTGCGGCTCAGGGCTCTGAAGGGTGAGGGTCCGTGTAATGGTGGGGACAACATGACAAGGGGCGGGGCAGAACTGTGGCTTGAGCAGCAGCTGAGATCTCACACTGTGAAGAGGAAGCAGAGGCCACAGATCAGAAGCAGGGTGTGGTTTCTGAGACCTCAAAGCCTGCCCCAGCGACACGCTTCCTCAGCGATGCCACGCCTCGTAAACCTACCCAAACACTGCTATCAGCTGGGGACCAAACATTCAGTCACCCAAGTATCGGGGAGGAGGGGGCATTTCATGCAAACCACTACACTCCCCTAGGACCTTTGGGGTGTGACCCTGCCTCTTTAGATGGATGCCATGCCCCGCACTGGCTTTACTTGATTCTGTCAGGCAGGAGGAGCATGAAAATGGGGGGAGGGGTTGGGAACGAAGCTCATGGGCTAAGCACTTGCTTGCCTCGTTATTTGCAAGGTCTTGGATCCCATCTTAGCATCACAAGCCCAAGCCTGCAGTGGCACACGCCAGACCAGCCTGTGCTACGCAGCGAGACTCAGAAAGAAAGACAAGGCGCTGGAAAGACGGCTCAGCGGTTAAAAACACGTATTGCTTTTGCAAAGAACCGGAGTTTGGTTCCCAGCACCCACACTGGGTGGTTCATGGCTGCCTGCAACTCTTCTGGATCCAGTGCCCCAGACAGATGCAAACACACACAAATACAAATAAAACAAATACCGGACAAGAAAAACAGAAGTACTCCATGCCCTTCCCAGTTAGGTCTCTCTGTCTCTCCTGCTTGTGGATCAGATGTGAGCTTTCAGCCTCGGCTCCAACGCCATGCCTGCCTGCCTGCCTGCCTGCCTGCCTGCCTGCCACATGCTCCCCTCCGTGATGGTCATGGACTCGAACCCTCTGCAACTGTAGGCCATGAATTAAATGCTGTTTATAAGCTACCACGGTCATGGTGTCCCATCACGAGACAGAAAGGCAACTAAGACACCGAACTCAGATCTGTGGCTGTCAGGCTCTCCTAGGGCTAGCTAACGCTCACCCAGAAGGTTAGTCCAGGCAGGATATGCATTTCAACAAGCTCCCCATGATTGCCGATGGCCAGGCCCCTTGAGGACCAATGGTGTGGAAAAGAAACCACAGTTGCCGGGATCCAGGGGTGGTGACAGTGAGGCCTTCCTTTACAGCAGCCTGGATGAGGTGTGGGGGAGGGGTGCCTGGGACAGTCCTTACTCGGGTCCCTGGGGAAGTGAGTCAGGGGAGAGGGCTGGCCAGTTAGGTTCCAGGTCCCAAGCGTGATGAGGCCTTGTGTGTTCGGCTGCTTGTGTCTCTGTGATTTTCCTGGAGAGACCGGGAAGGAATGTTTGTTTGTCTGCCCCAAACAGGGAGGGAGGTGATGGACCAAGGAGAGTCTCCCTCAAGCCCAGCTCAGCCAGTAAACGTTTATTGAGGGTACTAACAGGAGCGTGGGCAACTCAGAGCAGCGGCGCCCCCCCCAAAAAGTCCATCCTCATGCCATATCCCAGCCTTCCCATAGTGTCAGCAGCAGCAGGGCAGGAGGGGGTGGTGACTAAAATCTTAGGGGAGGGTCCCCTGAGGGTTATGGGACCCTTCCCGTCCATTGCCACAGAGCTAGTGTGACACTTAATCTTTTTAAGTCTCGGTACACATGTGGCGGTCAGAGGACGTCTTGCAGAAGGGAGTTGGTTCGGTCGTGGCAGCAGTGTCCAGGTCCTTGCTTTGCTTTAGTACTGGAAATTGAACCCAGACTCTCACACTTGGCAGTGAGAGTTCATCTTGGCTGTCAGCCTGAATGGATTGAGAATCCCCATGGAAACACCCCCTGTGGATCTGCCTGCGAGGGTGCTGGAGCCTGCGAGTAAATCCGAGGCAGGTCCCATGACCCTCGGCGTTGTAAATAGTCACCAGGGACGTGGAGGTTGGCACCCCAGGATGCCCACGTCATCGTCAGCTCCTCAGCTGACTGCTGTTGAAGCCCCTTTGAAGTGACTCAGATGAGTCATCTAGGATACCTCCTCCGCCCCCCCTAAATACTCCAATAGCGGGCTTCCTGCTTCTTCACAAGTCTGGGGCACTTTGGCGCCCCCAGAGGCATCCACGATATCCAGACTGTAGCTGAAACATCTCCACGGGGATCCCAGGTACTGGGTGACCACCCTTACCTTACAACCTGGGTGGTGGGCCCTGCGGGGGTGGGGGGGCGGTGAGGGTGAGACTCGGGTGAACTGGTACACACGGAGCCTGGGAAGCTCCCATGCATTGCTCTTACCCCCCTAGTCTGACTGTTGCAGGACTGGATGCGGGCTTGCGAGGTGGAGGAAGGAGGAAGGAAGGAGACGGGGTCTCTGGGGATTGCTCAATTGGTAGTGCTATCACCAGCTCCCAGGACCCCAAAAGAGGTCTGATCCCTGTGCACAGGACGGCGCAGGAGTGCAGCTGTGGTTACAGACAGGGAAACTGAGGAAGTGTTTGACATAGAGGGGATACATGACTGCAGGCTGCCCAGGGCCAGGCATGTGTGGTGGGGACGCCTGTCCTCCAGCATTTGGAACTGTTAGAAGGGGACCAAGAGGCAGGGGAGAAATTCGCCTGGAGGGGCCGGTGACAATGGCGTTACAGGTAAAGGCATCTACCGCCAAACTTGACAGCCCCAGTTCAGTCCCAAGGACCCATATGGTGGAAGGAGAGAGCTGACCCTGACCTCCATACATGTCCCACCCAATACATATATACATACACACGCACGCATGCACACACATGCACACACGTGCACGCGCGCACACACACACATACACACATGCACGGGACTAGAGAACCACCTGGAGACTCAAGTGGGAACAGGAAGAGCTCAGAACTGTGTCTGCAGAGATTCAGGATGACATCTGACTCAGAGCCTGGAATGGGGACCCCATCTTCAAAGTGGCACATGTCTGTCACCCCAGCACTTAGGAGGCAAGTGGAGAGTTCGAGGCCAGCATGAGCTGCACAATGAGAGTCTTTCTCTAAGAAAAGGAAAGTGGGGGGTGCTGGAGAGCATGCCCCCCTTCCAGAGGGCTGGGAGCTCAATTCCCAGCACCCACGTCAGATGGCTCATAATGACCTGTAACTCCAGCTTCAGGGGGATCCGATACTGCTGGTCTCTGTGGACACCCACACTCACGGACACATATGTGCGCATGTGCGCACGCACACTCACACTCACATACACATCTAAAAAGTTAGTATTTTCTAGAAGCCAAATAATCTCAGTTTAGACCAACCTCCAAAATTGTGCAAGCTGGAAAATGTATTTTAAATTTACTACAGGTCCAGCAAGATGACTCAGTGAGTAAAGGCACTTGCCACCAAACCAGACAATTTGAGTGCAGTCCCCAGGTCTGGCATGGTGGAAGGAGAGAGCGGCCAAAGGGAAATTACAATTACTGTCCGCTGACTCCCACATGTGCCCCGTGGCACGGACTCCTCCTTCCACACACAAAATTTGCTGTCAGATAATCCCAGCACACCTTTAATCCCAGCACTGGGGAGGCAGAGGCAGGCGGATCTCTGAGTTCAAGGCCAGCCTGGTCTACAGAGTGAGCTCCAGGACAACCAGAGATACACACAGGGAAAGCCTGTCTCGAAAACCAAAATCAAAAACAAATTTTAGAAGTTACTATAGTCACAAATTTTGTTACTCGCAACTTTAAGAGGTAGATCTTCATTTCGTGTGTGTGTGTGTGTGTGTGTGTGAGATTGAGTGTGTGTATGTGTGAGTGTGTGTGTGAATGTGTGTATGTGTGTATGTGAGTGTGTGTGAGTGAATATAAGTGTGTGTATGTGTGTATGTGAGTGTGTGTGAATGTGAGTGAGTGTGTATGTGTGAGTGTGTATGTGTGAGTGTGTATGTGAATGTATGTGTGTATGTGAGTGTATGTGAATATATGAGTGTATGTGTGGGTGAGTGTGTGTATGTGAGTGTGTGAGTGTATGTGTGAGTGTGAGAGTGGGTGAGTGAGTATGCATATGTGAGTGAGTGTGTGTGTGTGTGTGTGTGTGTGTGTGTGTGTGTAGGACAGGCTTTTCCTCTGACATTCTCCGCCATACTGTTTGAGATAGGGTCTTTCACTGAAGCAGGAGCACACAGATGGGCTAGCCTATCTGGCAGTGATTCCCAAAGATTCCCCTCTCTGTTTCCTCAGCTCTAGGGTCACAGGTATACACTGCTGTGCTCAGCCTTTTAGGTGTGTCCTAGGGATCAAACTCAGAACGCCACGCTCGTGTGACAACCATTTCTCCTGCCAAAGCATCTTTCAGGCCGCAGCAGGAAGCTCCCTGAGGCTGGACCTTTAAAGAGAGTCCATTTCCCTGCTGTCAGCTGCCAACTGATCCAATGGCTGTTCTAAAAACTGGACCCCAACTCTTCATCCCCACCCCTTAGAGTTCAGGCAGATTGGCAATTGCACTGGCTAACCGAAAAGCAAAAACAGGCTAGACGCCTGTAATCCCAGCACTCGGGAGGCAGAGGCAGGCAGATCTCTGAGTTCAAGGCCAGCCTGGTCTACAGAGTGAGTTCCATGACAGCCAGAGATACACAGAGAAACCATCCCTTCCCCACCACCCCCGCAAAAAAAAAAATCAGTTCACCAAACAACAACAAAAACAAAAGCAAAGCAAAAACAAGGTTAGAATGTCAATGGTGGAAGTTTCTGAAATACTCACTCCCTCTGGAGCCCTGGCTACCTTGTAAGAAGTGCAAATGTCCTGAGGCAGCCACGATTCGAGAGAGCTCAAGTCACTCAGACAGAAGATACACCGGTGGTCCCCTTGGAGGCCAGCCTTCCAGCCTAGACACAGACTATGGGTCAAGAAGCCTCCAAAGTCCCTCCCGCACCAAGTCCTTTGTCCTTTTTGTTGCTAACCGAGTGCAGCGTGTCATGTAGCAGACACAGCTATCCCTGGCCAACCTTCCATGCCGTGGAACCAGCATGGAAGCCCAATAGAAGGGTTATTACCCACTGCTGGGTTGGGGCGGTTTGTTTTGCATCTGTAAGGCAGAACAGCGGCTCCTTGAGTAACTCACATTATTGTAATGACATTGCTTTTATGCAGAAACCAAAAATTCATCTCCCTACGCACACCACCGTTTAAACCTTCCCCAACAATTACTTCTGAGTGTAAAATTAATGGCCTTCAGGGCCCTCGTTAATCACGGCAGCGTTTGCACTCCAGTAAGAGCTAGCTTGGGAAAGAGAGCACACATTACTCTCGACCGTGCTCATGCACGGAGCCCTGTGCAGAGGTTCTTCTGTAGGCAGAAGAGAAGAATGGAGCTGGGTATGGAGCCAGGACCCCCAAACAGGAGGATGGCAAGTTCTAGGCCAGCCTGGGCTACAGTTTAAATCTCAAATATCCCCCTCCGTCTCCTGCATCTGGATACATGGTTCCCAGCTGGTGGTGCTGGTCCCAGAGGGGACCATTGAGGCAGGAAGCATAGCTGGAAGACAGAGGTCACCTGGGGGGTGACGGTCATTGCTGGGCTCTGATTCCTGGTTGGTTCTCTCCAGCAAGGTGCCAAGAGCTTCCGGTTCCGGTTCCAACTGCTGTGACCGTCTGCCCCAGCCCCCATGCCTTCCCACCGAGGTGTTGTCTCAATAGAAAGGGCAGGGGTGGGTTTATGTCTGTCATTCCAGCACCCAAGAGGCTGAGACGGGAGGATGAGGGGCTTAAAGGGCATCCTCAGCTACGTAATGAGTTTAAGCTAGCCTGGGCTACATGGGACCCTGCCTTGTCTGTTTTTTAAACAATGTGAATACAGGAGTGAAGAGAGAGAAAGTTTTCTGGAGGCTGAAAAGCCAAGACTGGGAACCCCTCCCCTGCCAGTTGAGGGCATTAGGGTCTCATGGCAACGGAGAATGAAGATGCTGGGGGAGGGCCTTGACGTATACTCTCCTGCCACACAGTAACTGGCCCTGGTGTTCCTCTGTGGTTTTCATCTGGTTGCCCCTAGGGCTAGAGCCAGCAAGGAGGACTGGCTACTCTTCCAGAGGTCCCAAGTTCAACTCCCAGCAACCACATGGTGGCTCACAACCATCTGTGATGAGACCTGGTGCCCCCTCATACGTGCTGGGAAAACACTGTATGCATAATAAATAACTCTTAAGAAAAATCTGCTGTGCCCCTTTGTGGCCCCTTGGAAGCTTGGTCATCAGGGACTGAGAGGCAAGGCCTAGAGAAAGGGTTTTGGGGGGTGCTAGTGCTTGGAAGGAAGGCGTCTTAGGGTTCCTGTTGCTGTGATTGATGGAACGCCATGACCAAAAGCAACTTAGGGAGGAAAGGGTTCATTTCAGCTTACCACTTCTGCTCACCCTCCATCACTGAGGGAAGTCAGGGCAGGGGCCTGGAGGCAGGATCTGGAGCGATGCCACTTACTGGTTTGCTCCTCACAGCTGGCCCAACCTGTGTTCTTTTTTTTTTAAATATTTATTTATTATGCATATGGTATTCTGCCTGCATGCCTTCAGGCCAGAAGAGGGCACCAGATCTCATTACAGATGGTCGTGAGCCACCATGTGGTTGCTGGGGATTGAACTCAGGACCTCTGGAAGAACAGACAGTGCTTTTAACCTCTGAGCCATCTCTCCAGCCCCGCCAACCTGTGTTCTCATAGCAGCCAGGACCACCTGTCCAGGGATGGCACCACCACCCTGGGCCCTCTGACATCAAGAAAATGCGCCGCAGTCTTCCCCCAGGCCAGTCTGATAGAGGCTTTTTCTCCATTGAAGTCCCCACATCCCGGATGGCCCCAACTTGCGTGAAGCTGACACAGAGCCAGCCAGTGCGAGGGGACCACAAAGCACTAGTGGGGCCCAAGAGTGTTTATTCCAGAAGGACAAGGCTAGCCCCGCCCGCTCTCTGCTTGCGGTCTCGTCCAGTGATCTTTTCCCCATGGGCCGTTCCGCAGCATTACCGGGTGCCACGGGCTGCATCACTTTGGACTGCAGGAAAATACCCACACCTCTATTTTGGAACAGATTCTATGTAGCCCAGACTGGCCTCTAAAGTGTGTGTGTGTGTGTGTGCATGTGTGTGTGCGCGCATGCATGCGTGTATTAGTGCTAGTGCTCTTGGAAGCCAGAAGAAAGCGCCAGATTCCCGGAGCTGGAGTTACAGGTGGTTGTGAACAGCCCAATAGGAGTGCTGGGAACGGAACTCAGGTCCCTTGAAAGGACGCCAAGCACTTTTACTGCTGAGCTATCTCTTCAAGCCCTTAAACTTCATTTCTGAATAACCACTCCTGGGTGTCTTGTCATAGCAATGGAAAAGAAATAAAAACGTGTCCGAATCCCTACCAGATCCCCTATGGCCATAATCCTCTGGGGCTCTCAAGGCTGGGCCATATGCTCTCTCTCTCCACTGTGTCCTCTGCACAGACATACTTCCTCCTCCAAAATATATCTGTGCAGACCCTCCATGGGGCATCGTGCTCCTGGAGAGACTTCAAGCTTCTAAAACACAAGAACAGCACATTTTCAGCTGACAGTTACAAGGGGAACATTTATGGTCACCCCCCTCCAAATCTCTGCATACAATTGTGTGTGTATGTGTGTTTCTGGGATCCGAACCCAGGGCCTTGAGCATGCTAGGTGAGTATCACTCATTTCTAACACATCAACATTAACCTGACCCCCAAAATGCCACAGACGAGACAGTTTGGGGTGAACCCCGAGGGGCAGTGTTCTACAAGTCACATGTGGGGCTGTCAGAGTCTGGATTGGCAATGCATGGTGAAGACGGACCCTACTAAGGCCTTGGGGCTTAGGTGCTGATGGCTACATCATTTTCCCCAGAAAATGGACCGTGAGTCCGTCCAAGGGCTTCTGAAGAAGTCTCTCTGGAGTTTGCGGCTGATCACCTGTGTGTTCTCATGTTTATCGGTTGGCATCTTAAGCTGGCGGTGGTGGTGTGTGCCACCGGATCCCTGCACTGGGAAAGACCTGAGGCAGGAGGATTGTCACATATTCAAGGCCAGCTGGGGCCACATAGAGTACCAGACCAGTTATGGCCCCACAGGGAGAACCTGCCTCCGCACCCCTGTCCCCCCCCAAAAAAAAACTAGATGTAGTGGCAAGGCCCTTGATCCCAGCACTTGGGAGGTAGAGGCAGGGGTCTGGGAGTTCAAAGCTAGCTTAATTGTCATAGAGAGTTCCAGGACAGCCAGGACTACATAGTGAGATTTGGTCTCAAAAAGAAAAAAAAAAACCCAAAGCAAGAAAAAAAAATAAAAATAAACAAACTTAGAATGTAAAAGGAAAATCTTGAGAAACAGAAAGCTCTGTTGAGCTTTCTCCTGCCACTGAACAGAGCGCCCCCTTTTGGCTTAAGCCTGAAGAGCCCTAAATTCTCAAGCGCCAAGGCAGCAGTGCCCCCTGGTGGCCACCTGCACTGCCACGGAGATCTGCAGACGCAGGGGAAGAGGGGACCCTGAACCGGGAGCAGCCGGAAGGGGTGCTGAGGGGAGGGTGCTTCAAGCTGTGCTTACAAGACTGGTCACTCCCTCCTCTGTCCCACGGGGTTTTGCTTTCTATTGCCCCAAAGCAGGTGCATTTATTGTTCTTCGAAATGGCTCGTTTTCTTTCTTTCTTTCTTTCTTTCTTTCTTTCTTTCTTTCTTTCTTTCTTTCTTTCTTTCTTTTTTGGGGGGGTTTCGAGACAGGGCTTCTCTGTGGCTTTGGAGGCTGTCCTGGAACTCACTCTGTAGACCAGGCTGGCCTCGAACTCACAAAGATCCGCCTGCCTCTGCCTCCCGAGTGCTGGGATTAAAGGCGTGCGCCACCAACGCCCGGCTTCTTTTTTTTTTAAGGTTTATTTATCTTATGCATAAGGCACTCTGTCTACATATAGAGACTACATACAGGAAGAGGGCACCAGATCTCATTACAGATGGCTTTGAGCCACCGTGTGGTTGCTGGGAATCGAACTCGGGACCCCTGGAAGAGCAGCCGGTGCTCTTAACCTCTAAGCCATCTCTCCAGCCCCCTCATTTTCTTTTGAAGAGTCTCTCACAAGCAGCTCTTGTGATTCCTGAAAAAGACCCAGCCCCCGTCCCCAGACAGGACTTCACGTGACCCAACTGACCACTGAAAGCTGGGCCTCCTTGGGATTTTGTCCTCCCCCCTCTGTCCACCGTCCACCCCACTGGGCATCCTGAACCTGGCCCCCATCACACACCCTGGCTTACATAGGAATGACGTGTGCTTCTTCCGGCTGTGGGCAAGCCTGCTTGGGAATGAAGCTGACACACAGTAAAGGAGAGCTAAGAGCTGCAGGATTGAGCAATGTCTAAAGCCAGACTCTCCTGGGAACTTAACACACATGCACGCGCGCGCACACACACACACACACACACACACACACACACACACACGCACGCACGCACGCACGCATGCACGCACACATGCACGCGCACACACACACCGCATCTCCCTCCTTTTTACTTTTTAAGATGGGATCTATCTTCCTGTGTAGCCAAGGCTGACCTGAAACTCACTATGCAGCCCAGGCTAGCCTTTAAAGTGTTGGAACTTCGGGAGTGAGTCCCCACGGCTGGCCTAAATGCTCTCTCGCACGGGTAAGAGTTGGGGGTCCCAACCCCACCCCGATTTGCCTCCGGTCCCCTCTCTGCTACTCTCAGAATGTCCGCGTTGCTGCTCAAGTTTGTGCACTCAGAGAGACCCATTAATCAAAACCACCTTTATTAGTTAAAGAGTATCCCCACGGGGGTGCCCGGGAAGCAGCCCCAGAGGACAGAGTAATATATATATACATGGTGTGGGAGGGCTGAGTGGGCCGGCCACTGTGGAGGAGAGTCCTCGGACCTGTGGGCTGGGTCTGTGGAAGAAAACTTCTCCGTGTGAGGCCCACCGGGGAGCCTACCATGCGGGGCTGGAGCCGGCAGACCAACTCCGGCTCTGGAGCATGTGTGGCGCAGAGCGTCGAGGCTGGGTCACGGCTGAGTCACCAAGCCACTGGCTTCGGAGTGAGTCTAGGGGAAGAGCCATGGGCTTCCAAGGTCTCGGACGCTTCTCCCGACACTGTGCCCCCTTCCCCCAGAAGCCTATGGGGACCCAGGCAGCCCCGCCCAATACCAATTCACCTTTATGGCCTGGAAGATCCACTCCCGGAAGTCAATGACTTTGGTGTACACTCCTGGCTTCTGGGCCAGAGCACAGCCCGTACCCCAGCTCACGATACCGCACAGCCGCCATCTCGAGGTCCCAGAGATGCTGTCCTCACACACGAAGGGGGCCGCCGCTGTCACCCTGGTGGGCGGGATGGGACATCTGGCTGGAGGCCACCGTGGCTCCGGGGGTGGGTGGGAGGGGGGTGGGAGGGTCTCATTCCTATTACCCTACCCTGGCCCCTTCTCTGTACTGTTGGCCCCGGGGGGCTGCCCCGCGGTGTCCCTCACCTGGCAAGCATCAATGCCACCCTCGGGATAGCCAGCGCAGAACATCTTGGATTTGATCTGATTCCCGTAGAAGTCAGGGCTGTTACAGACCTCGTTGCTTATGATGGGGACCCGGGCCTCCTGGAGCACCACAGCCTGCTGGCCTGAGGAGATGTGGGTAAGGTGGCCAATATTGGGAAACAAGCCCTCCACCACCACACCCCGACACCCACCCTACGGCCTTTGGGTCCCTTTGAGATTCAACTAGCCCCACCACCCCACCCCGAAGCATCTTCAGGCCTAAGGGTGTGGTTGGAAGGGCCCGTGTAAAGGGAAGCTTTTTCCTTGAGAGAAGCCTTCCTGCCAGCCTGGTTCTAGAGCCGCATCAGTGCCAAATAAACACACAGGAGGCTATATTAATTATGAAGCTGTTGGCCTTGCTTGTTTCTTACTGGCTAGCTCTGACTTAAGTAATTACCCTATAATTGTTAATCTAAGTATTTCTCTTACTGGAGAATAGTTTTGGGCTTCCTACCCCGTGGCATTACATCTTGACTCTCTGTGTTTCTCCTTCCCAGAGTCCTCCTCGACTCCTAGTCCCACCTATCTAGATTCCTATTGGCCAGCAGTGCTTTACTGACGCAGGACTTCCGACATCAGGCCCGGAACTCACCGTAGAACTGTGTGTTGCCCCAGCCGGTCACGGTACAGACCTTGCCATCCACCAGAGCCTGTCCCGCAGCAGGGAGACACACCGGCTGGATGTATTCTATGAGAGAGAACATACCAGTCCAGTCCCTGCCAGTCAGCCTGTCCCTTGTGGGATGCAGCTCACCCTCCACAAAACCCCGGTGCGCACTATCACTTCCACGATGGGGCCTTCATCATCTCCAGTTGTCCCAGGGAGCTGGGATTGGCCTTTGCCTCAGGAGGGACGGGAGGCCAAGTCACCTGGTCCAAAGTTTCATAGAAGCCGATGGCGTAACCAGAACCAGAGCCAAAGTTAGCTCGGTTCCCCCTGTTTTGGCTCTTAACGGTGGCCGCAGGACTATCACCAGCTCAGAAAGTAGGAAACAGGGAAAACACACCCTGCCCTTGAGACTCCTGGCTTCTACCTGTTAGAAAACTGTCATGATAAACACACAGGCCTCCGCTGACACTGGCTTCCCTAAGATGGAGGCTCCTTGGGCCAGGGCATAGCACAGGCAAGCAGTCCCGGCGGCCCTCACTGTTGCCATGACGTTAATCCAGCCTCCCTCTGCTCCAGAACCTCCCTACGAAGTGCAGTGTTCATGCCCCAAGCTGGGGTTATAGCTCAGTGGAGGAGTGCTTGCCTACAGTGCAAGAGATCCCGGGGTCGCCCCCCCCCCAGCACTGGAAAAAACACAGCACGCACACAAAATTACTTCCCTGCAGAAACCGGGGTGACAAATGGACGTGGTATTGAAAACAAGAAGTATGTATAAGAGTGATTAAGTATCAACAGCCATGGAGAGAGCACCCTGGAGGTCTGTGGGAGAATGAAGGAGTCCAGACTCGGGACACGCAGAGGCCCACGAAAGCACACGGTCACTTGGCAACAAGCAGACACTGTGAGAAATGTGTCCTCAGAGGGTTTTGTCATTGTGTGCGGATCCTAAGGGGCCCCTCCATGCAAAGGAAGATGACTCTGATGTCACAAGGCCATCTTATCTCAAAGGACCACAGTCTTAGGGATGCTGTCTCTGTCTGTGACCAAAACGATTTCATGCAACACTCAGCTGTACGTAAGCTCAGCACACCGCTGCTCTTGTTTATTTACTGTCATTTATGTACTTGTTTATTTGGGGCCTTTTGAGAAGGGGTCTCTCAACACAGCCCAGGTTGGCCCAGACTCACAGACTTTCTTCCTCAGGGCTCAGATGACAGGCATGTGCCACATTAGCTGGCTCTCCACACCTATATTTAAGATTTGTGTGTGTGCGTGCGTGCACGTGTGTGCACACGTGTGTGCGCACGCATGTGTGTGTTCACGCGCATTCGTGCACGTGTGCACGTGTGCCTATGGAGTCCAGAAGAGAGAGCTGGAATTAGAGACAGTTGTGAGAGGCTGGACGTGGGTACCAGGAACTGAGTGAGGGTCCTCTGTAAGAATAGCAAGTACTCTTAACCACTGGGACATCTCTCCAGCTCCTCTCCATATGTTGTAACTCTGCATGGTGTTTGGAGCAGTGCATCCTAGCTGACAATTGCTGCAGATTCACACAACTCTAACTCACCTGGCTCCTGATTCTCCGTGCTAAAGCGTCTATGAGTTGATGGCTTTAGCGTTATGTCCAGACTGGCATAACTGTCATCACTCTCCACTTTAGAACACGTTGTCTCCCCCATAGAAACCTCAGACTCTTTACCTGTTTGTAACATCTCCCCTAACTGGTCTCCTACCTGGGTGGGCTATTTATATCTAGAGTATCTTGTGCAGCCTAGGCTAGCCTCAAACTCGCTATGTGGCCAAGGCTAGCCTTGAACTTGATCCTCCTGCCTCCTCCTCCCGAGCGTGGGGATTCCAGGCACGTGCCTTCATGCCCAAGTTACTATGAATGAATGGCTCTGTTAAGAGCATCTGTGCGACCATCCTATTCCAAGTCGGGAAGGAATCACAGGGTCACGGTGACCGGTTCCTTTACAAAGGGAGGCTCAGGTGATTGTGTACGGCATCCATTCTATCTGGCATTCGTGCTCTCCAGACTTCATGCCTAATGCCCAGTTTGGGCCCCCTCGAGACGGGTCCATTATCACCGTGGAAACCTGAAGTCTCTGGAGTACCCAGCCTGGGGCTGGGCTGCCAGGCTTACCTGTGAGAGGCAGGGGGCTGGAGAGGTGGACCAGAGCGATGTCATTGCTGTTCTCCTCAGTGGTAGGGTCTCGGAAAGGAAGGTAGCCCCCGTGATAGATCACAGCCTTAACCCCCAGTTGCATGCCGTGGGGCGAGGTCCGTGCCACAGCACCAGCAAATACTCGCCATCGAGACAGGACCCGGTTTCGCCTGCCAGGAGAGAAGGGACAAGTCCCTGGGCCCGGCCTCTGCAGACCTCTCTCCTGCCCCACCCTTGGTAGGACTGTGGGGGGACACTCACTCTGGAAAGCAATGTGCAGCTGTCAGCACCCAGTCCCCGGACAGCAGGGATCCCCCACAGAGGTGGGCCCCGTCATAACGCAGGCTGACCTGCCACGGCCACCGTCCCAGGCTGCTGTCCTGGCCCCCAACAATGCGATCCACCGGCAGTTTCCTGCGGCCGCAGTCTGCGGGTAGGTCACAAGGGAGGCCTCAAAACGCAAGGGATCTGAGTTCTAGGGCATAGTCTAGCCCCTCCCTCCCCCCGGGATGGCAGGAAACGCAGCCCTGCCCCCAGCAATTTGCGGGAACAGGGCTCTCCCCACCCCTGGACGCGTGAAGATCCTGGGAAGTTTGTGGGGTCACACTCCACCCTGGGGCCCCAGGGCTCCAGTCTTGGCCGGCATCTAGAGAAGGGTTTGAGGTCGCGCGCGCCTGTGCGCGCAGGTCTTACCTTGACAGACAGCAGTCACAAATCGGCCTCGAGGGCAGTCGCTGGGAGAAGACCCAGGACAGGGGTCGGAGACAGAGTGACAAAACAAGCGACCAGTTAGGATGATATTTGGAGGCTAGGAGTCCAGTGCCACCCGCAGCCGCCCTGCTCACCACACAGAGATGACATCCAGCAGCCTCTGAGCCATCGGCAGGCCGCCCTCATCCACGCAGAAGAAGCCCGACGTACCATTGGCGCCCGCAGTCCGGACATCCAGCTCCGAGTGCGCCAGGGCCCTGCGCGCGCGCCGGGCTCGGGTCAGAGCCGCCTCCAGCCCCATTCCGTGCCCTCCCCTCCCCCGAGGGCCACCTGGGTACCTGAGGAAACCCATCTCCTCGCAGCCGAGCCCCGCCACCCTGGCGTTGGAGCGTGAAGAACACAGCAGCCTCCATGTCCCCTCCGTCTTGTCGAACACTGCAAGTCGCGAGTCCCCGGGGCTGACCTGCACTGCAGGGCGACAGGGCCAAGCCTGGGTCCCACAGAGGCCCACCCCCAGCTTCCCTGACTGCCTGGGGGTCCTGGGGGCTCCGGTCTTGAACCCCTTGTCGCACCCACTACTAGGTGGAATGTCTCTCCCCACTGGGACACCCAATCTGCTGGAACTTGATTCAGACGCCAAGAACCAGGGGAATGATTGCATTTGACTCGGGGAGAAAGCAGATGAGAGAGAGTGAGTCTGTGCAGGATATTCACTGAGAACAAGCAGGGAGTCAGCCAAGCTCAGGGAACCGCCAGCGGGGCCCGGGAACCCTTGGCTAATTCACCAGGTTACTAAAACATTTAAATAAGTGTGACTTGGAGAAAAGAAGGGGCCGGACAGGAAGAGGAACTGAGGCAGATGCCTGTAATTCTAGCACTCAGAAGGTGAAAACTACAGGATCATGAGTTCAAGGCCAGTCTGAACTGGCTACACAAAGGGGGAGGGAGGCTGGCTATGGTGGTACTTGAGTCTAGAATTTGCCGAAGGGTCATGAGTTCGAGGATAGCCTGGGCTGTACATTTTAACCAGGTGTGGTGGTGGCGCACGCCTTTAGTCCCAGCACTCGGGAGGCAGAGGCAGGCGGATCTCTGTGAGTTGGAGGCCAGCCTGGTCTACAGAGAATTGCAGGAAGGCCAGAGCTTGGTAGAGAGACCCTGTCTGAACCCAAGGAATAATAAAATAATAATAAAATAGAGGAAAAGGAGCACCCAGCCTCTTCTATCGCCCAAGCAAAATCTGGGAGATGGACTCAGTGACTCCAGAGTCACCTTAGCTCGGTGCGTGGCTTCCGCTTCCCATCCCAGCACTCAGGAGACCGAGGCGGGAGAGTTGTCACAAGTTTGAAGCCAACGTGGGCCACACACTTAATTCCAGGCCAGCCGGGGCTACAGAATTAGAAGACCCTGTTTCAAATATCAAAAGTCACGCAGCCAATACATCACTAATAACTGGCGAGAGTCAGGCACAAAAACACCTTCTATGCCAGGCCTTGGGAGGCTGAGGCAGGAGGCTTGTGGGCTTGAGGTCAATCAGGGCTACATTATGTCTCGGGCAGAATGAAGGATGGGATGGAAGGAGAGAGGAAAAGGGGGGAGAGGGAGAAAGGCATAATGCAGGACAGGGCTACAGCAGAAGGCCAGCCCACAGCACCGGTTCTGTCTTGAGGGTGGCTGGGGCAGCCTATGTGGCGGGCCAATGCTCCCTGGCCCTCCGTCTGCCTTCCTAAGGTCAGAGAAGCCCTGTTCACACCCGAGTCAGGTCAAACCCTTAAGGAGTGTTCCTTCCTTTATGTTTACCGGACACTTTGAACATGCTCGGTGCTATTTCAGGCTGTCCATAAACCACATGAAGTTTCCTCCCTGCATGAGTAGCAAAGCCCAGGTGCGCAGACAGGTAATGAACAGGACAATAACGGAGACGTGCCCTGTGTCACAGCGGAAGGGGCCACGGAGGCAGGCCAGGCCAGCAGAAGGGATGGGGGGGCTGGGATGTGGGGGCGGAGATGCACTTTGCTGCGAGCGGGCAGGCAAGGACGGCTTTGCCGGGAAGGTGCCTCGAGAGCAAGGAGGGGTCACAGAGGAGTCGAGAAAGATGCTGAGATCTGGGAGAGGACCGAGAAGTAGGCCAGAGAACTAAAGGACGGGAGGTGGAGATCTGAAGACCGCGGCGGGGAGTTGGGTGAGCAACAGCCAGGAGGCAGAGAGAGGATGGCAGAGTTAGCTCGCAGCTGGACCAGCATGCAGCTGCGCCGGGACTCAGAGCTGGGGGCAGGGGGCCACACACTGACCCGACTCAGGGAAGCATGAGTTCCTTCTGGCTGCTGATGGGGGCAGACCTTAGGGCGGGACCTGGAGCCCAGACTGTGACCTCAATGTGACAGGGACGGAGGCTAGGCCAGCAGGGGGCAGCACGGGAAATGGCGCTGGATTCTGGAACTATTTTGTAGGCAGAGACCTAGGCCCAGTGGTACAGACTGTCATCTCACCTATCTGGGAAGCTGAAGGTAGTGGATCAAACATCCAAACCCTACCTGGGATATTGAGTGAGTTCAAGATCAGCCTAAGTAATTTAGGGAAAAGGGTCTCAAAATAAAATGTAAAAAGAGGACTGGGGTGGCATCCTTGCCCACTGGTAGAGCCCCTGCCTAGAATCCCCCAGTGAGGGGCTGAGGGTGTGGCTCAGTGGTAGAGCCCCTGCCTAGAATCCCCCAGTGAGGGGCTGAGGGCATGGCTCAGTGGTAGAGGCCCCTACATGATTAAGGCCTTTAGTCCAATTCCTAGCATCAGTAAAAAAATAATAAATTATATGCACATCCCACAGCCAACCAGGATTTGAACTCAGACTGCCTGCTGGCTTCCATGTTCTCTGCCTAGCACAAACTCATCCATAGCAAGACTAAGAGCTGCTGGTGCAGTTTGCTGTAAATATGGCCTCCGTCTCCGGCCTCTATCAAGAACTGGCTGGCAGCTCCCACTGAGTGATGCCTACCACCCCAGCCCCCAGGATCAAGACCTGAGCAGCAACTTGGAGTCAGTAGACATCATTCCTAACTGCTCCAGATATTTCTAGCCATATGGGGGCCCTGGGGGGGGGCAAGGTAAAATTTCTACGAATGTGCATTGGGAAGATACTGGAAACGGGGGGGGGGGACAGCAAATGCAACTTTTATTTTACTTTTGTCCGTTTCTGGTTTTAGGAAGACAAGGACCCACAGGCCTGAGGCTTGCGACCCCCTTGCTTCAGGCTTGTGAGTGGCCTCCTGTGGTGGCTCTGCACCCACGGGCCGTTAGCTTGAAAGCCGCAGTCAGTCTGAGCTGCTGTTTGTCACCTCACAAGCTGCTCCTCTGCTGCGCGGTGCGTCAGCAGGTGGTGAGCTTGCCGGCCCCTGAGATATATTTAGGGAGGTGTGAAGATCCCAGAGCGAATTAAAGCAGGATACGGCCAACGTTGGGTTTCCTTGTCTGTGCCCTCACATCTCAGTGTTCTAGAAAGTGCACAGTCAATGACCAGAGCCCTGTTAGTGTCTTTCTACGTTGGCTAGTTGGTCTCTTCGATTTGTCTTTGTGGCTTCCTTTCTTTCTTCCTTTCTTTCTTCCTTTCTTTCTTTCTTTCCTTCCTTCCTTCCTTCCTTCCTTCTTTCTTTCTTTCTTTCCTTCCTTCCTTCCTTCCTTCCTTCCTTCCTTTCTTTCTTTCTTTCTTTCTTTTTGGTTTGCTAAGACAGGGTCTTGCTACTTAGTCCAGGGAAGCCTCAAACTTTCAATCATTTTGCCTCAGCCTCTCGAGCACCGGGATCACAAGTAAGCTTGGCTCTATATGCTTATTCTTAAGGGGGGAGATTTCCTGAGCACCTACTGTGTGCCACAGACAGCCTGACCCATAGGCAAAACATCTCTGCCTCCCCTGAATGCTCACAGAGTGTCAGTGTGAGGGTTCCCTTACGGCTGGGTGGCTACGGGGGGCGGGAGGGTGTGCTCTCAAGGAGGGGTGAGGCCTTTGATTACGATTTGGCTAAAAAGCTGAACCCTGCATGGATAAGCCAGACAACTATCCCCTCTCTTCCCACTTGGCTCTGCTCACCCCACATCCCAGATCAGGAAGCAGAAGTTCTCGGAGAGCCCCAGCTCAGAAATGATGGAAGGGAACCCCAGCTCCAGGTGGGGGCTGGTGAGCTCTGCCTTGGCAAGAGGATAGTGGAGCACCTGGGGGTGCAGCCTGTGATCCCAGCTACTCGGGGAGCTAAGACAGGAGAAGTCCAGGTTTAAGCATAGTTCAAGATCAGCTCAACATAGCAAAAATTCTCTTTCAATAAGAAAAGTAAAAAGGAGGTGAAGGGGAGTGTAGCTCAGCAGTAGAGCCCCTGCCTAGAATCCCCCAGTGAGGGCATGGGGGGTGGCTCAGTGGTAGAGCCCCTGCCTAGAATCCCCTAGTGAGGGGCCAGGGGGCGTGGTTCTATCCTTGCTAAGCAGTTAAGCATGTGTAAGGGCTGCAAAGGAGGAGGAGGAGGAGAAGATGAAGGTGAAGGTGGTGATGACTCTGGGGGGCGGGGTATTTAGGGAGCAGGGGGAAGCGCTGAGGTTAGAGTCCAGGGAGACGCTCTGCAGGCCAAGGTGAACTGTGGGTCGTAAGAGTCTTTAGGGCTGGGATTCCATCCTGTTGCCACGTGGAGCGGTAAGGCCTCCTGATCTGTTGCTCTGTCACTTACTCCCCCATGGTCCTAGGCAAGGCAGCCTGCTTCACAGAGCCTCAGTTTCCCCGTATGCAAAACACTGCGATGGCAGTGGCCTTGACGGCAGCCTAGCCTGGGGTGCAAGCTTTCCCTGTGGCAATGAACTCAGCAGTTTCTAGACAGATAACTGAGGAGGGGTCACACAGGGCTACCACCTGACTGCCTGGGTTGCCACAGACCTGCATGAGAGCCAGAGTCTCACTGTGTAGCCCAGGCTAGCCTCAAATTCACAATCCTGCCCTTATTTCCTGAGCACGGGGAGACGGATACGCTACCACGCTGAGCCTTGGCCTGTCTGTGCCTTCGCTCTACTTGAAAACATGCTCTTGTAGGACCGAATGAGCCAATGCCATCAAGTCTCGAGGCTGGCCCCTGCCCGGCCTTGAGGTCAGTGTTTGTAAGTTCAGTCAGGGTGACCAAGTCCAATGCCAACTGTTCAAATCTGGAATCATGTTTCCTCGAAAAAGGCACACCCCACCCCACCATCACCGCCCCTTCCTGCTTCCCTGGGCCACAGAGAAGCAAGTTGGAGGTGGCCTCAGGGAAGCCTCATCCCTTCCTTCCACTTGGGGTTTCCGCCTGTGGCTGCTCCTCCTACCCTCCTACGTGTGCAGTCACACCCACCAGTCTCAAGGCTGCTCCCGATGCCACCGGCATTGGCCTCCGTGTGCAGAAAGGACAGAGAGAGCCGCTACGTCCTCAGGGCTGGGAGTCTATTGAATTCATCCCCTTTGGAATGGGTCTTGACCACACCCCATGGTATACATGTGTCCCATCACAATTTATATCGTGGCGAGAGGTCTGTGGTCCTGGGCATACCATCGTATGGTCAAGCCTCAGTTTCCCCTTGTGTAAAAGGGAGGAACAATAGCCCCACATTCAAAAGGCTGGAGAGATGGCTCAGAGGTTAAGAGCACTGACTGCTCTTCCAGGGGTCCTGAGTTCAATTCCCAGCAACCACGTGGTGGCTAACAACCATCTACAATTCAATCTGGTGCCTTCTGGCATGTAGGCAGAACACTGTATGTGTGACAAATAAATAAATCTTTAAAAAAAGGCTGTATGTGTGTGAATACATAAGTGAAAACGTTAACTTTCTCTCTTTGGGAGCGATGCACTTTGATAATTTCTAATCCTTTTCAGACTCTCTATGTGTGCATGTGTGCACGTGTGTACGTATGTGCAGCAGGTACACATGTGTATTTGTGCATGTGGAGGGTATCATTCCCTAAGCACTGTTCTACCTGGGCTCAGAGACAGGATCTCTCACTGCCTGGAGCTGTCTCTACCTCCTCAGGGCTGGGATTACAAACCTGCTCCCTGATACTCCACTGTCTCACGTGGGTCCTGGGACTTGAACTACCTGGGCTCAGAGACAGGATCTCTCACTGCCTGGAGCCCCAGGGAGACTCCTGTCTCTACCTCCTCAGGGCTGGGATTACAAACCTGCTCCCTGATACTCCACTGTCTCACGTGGGTCCTGGGACTTGAACTACCTGGGCTCAGAGACAGGATCTCTCACTGCCTGGAGCCCCAGGGAGACTCCTGTCTCTACCTCCTCAGGGCTGGGATTACAAACCTGCTCCCTGATACTCCACTGTCTCACATGGGTCCTGGGACTTGAACTCAGGTCCCCAGGCTTGCAAGGCAGGCGCTTTGCTGACTGAGCTATCTCCTCAACCTCGATTTGAGACTTTTATTTTTAAATGGAGTTTTCAGCTAGGTATGGTGATGCATTCCTGGTCATCCCAGGACTTAGAAGGTGGAGGTAGGAGGACCAGGAGGTCTGGGGTCCTCTATAGTAAGCTTGAGGGCAGCCGGGCAATGTAAGATCTTTTCTCAAGAACTTGAAAATGAAAATGTTTTCAACTGCATGGAATACCCGTGGGTGACTTGTCTAGGGCTTGGGGAGCAACGACACCCTGGAGAGGTAGACCTCAGAAGCTAAGCGGGGCCTGGCCTGAGTCACTCACTTAGACTAAAGCCTGTGACTTGGGCGCAGTGGTTCATGCCCATATTACCATCACCGCGAAGCGGAGGCAGGAGGATTGCCACAAGTCTGAGGCCATCCTGGGTGAGTTCTGAGCCAGCCTGAGCCACAGACAAAAACCCTTTTGCTTAGCAGCAATGCAGGCATCGAGCACACACACAGGTATCAGTCCCAAGAGCTCTTTTGAGTTCCCCCATCATGCTTTTCCTCCGGGCCACCCTGGGGGATCCAGGGCTGCTCTGCTCACCTGGGTAGGGCGGCTCCTGCTCGCTCCGCAGTAGGATGGTCACTGTGGAGAAGGGAGACGTGAGAGCAGGTGGGTTGCAGCCCTCGGGGTAGGTGAGACCTCGGGAGCTGGGGGAGGGGGCTGCTCTCACCAATGGCCCAGGACGCAGCCCCAATGCCCGTCAGCAGCAGGAGCGTCCCCACAGTGAGAGCCGCCACCTTGGGCCTGGAGCAGCATGAAGCTGTCTGGACACCTGCAACAGACACCAAGCTAGCGTCACTGCCTGGCTTGTCCTCTGCCCGGCAAAGGCTGGGCACTGGGCCAGAATCCTACCAGGGAATGGAGAATACCTTATCAGGCCTGGGCCTGTGGTATCTCAAGCCCCATTTCCCAGGGCTAGGCAGCTGGCCGGTCTGTCCGGCTCCTGTCGCTGTCGCGTGGACAGACAGGTGTCTGGCTCCCCAAGGGTTACAGCTGGGAAGTGGGTCTGGCTCGGCCGGCTGCCACCTCCCTGCCCCCCCCCGCTGGCAGTTGTTCCTCTCCGGTGACAGGGCACTTCTGGACTTCCTTTCTTTCTTCCTGCTAGCCTGTCCCCAGACCCTCTCTCCCACTAACTTTTCCAGAAATTCTCACAACTTTGAGGCGTCTGTGATCTCTGACCTCTACCGTCTTGGTAACCCTAAAAGCCAGACCTGTTTTCCACAAGAACCCACAAGCTCCGAGATCAAATTTGTCCCTGGGAGGTTGAGAACACACGTTTTAAAACCTAGCTGACCCTATTCCCCGCCTCTGGTTTTCCCCTTTGGTATTTTGTTTCGTTTTATTTGTATTTTGAGACAAGGTCTGGCTACACGGCGATGCCAGCGTCAAACTTGCCATGTAGACCAGGTTGGCCTCAAAGTAGTGGGAGTTCCCCTGCTCTGCCTCCCTAGAGCTACGGTGACAAGCATGTGCCGCTTGCCTGACCATGTTTCTGCTTTGGGTTTTTTTTTCTTCTTTCTTTGTTGCTTTGCTTTTGTTTTTTGATTTTTCCAGACGGGGCTTCTCTGTGTGGCCCTGACTGCCCTGGAACTCACACTGTAGACCAGGCTGGCCTTGGACTCACAAAAAAAAATCCGCCTGCCTCTGCCTCCCAAGTGCTGGAGCTAAAGGCGTGTGCCACCAACACCCAGCTACAGTTTGTTTTGCTTTGCTTTTTCAAGACAAGGTCTCTCCACAAAGCTCAGAATGTCCTCAGACTTATGATGCCCCAGCTTCTGCCTCCTGAGTGCTAGGGTGACAGGCATGTACCACCATGCCTCGCAACCCCACTTGGAAATAGTGGCCTTGGAGGGATGGCTCAGTGAGTAAGAGCACTTGCTGGGCATGCATGGGGACCACAGTTAGGATCACCCATGTAAAGTGCCAGGTGTGGTGGTGAGCACATCTGTAAGCTCAGCACTGTTGGGTGGGCATAGGCAGGGGGGTGTGATGGGGGAAGTCCTGTGTATATGTCAATCAAACACTGCTGGCCAATAGGGAAGCAAGATAGGTGGGACTAGGAGCCCAGGAGGACTCTGGATAGGGGAAACACAGGAGTCAAGATGTAATGCCATAGGGGTAAGAAGTTCGGAACTTTTCTCCGGTAAGAGACATACTTAGATTAACAATTATGGGGTAAATACTTAAGTCAGAGCTAGCCAGTAAGAAACAAGCAAGGCCAACAGCTTCATAATTGATACAGCGTCTTGTGTGTTATTTGGGGACTACAACGCGGCAGAGCCCAGGCGACTGGTGGGGAAAACCCAGAGCAGATGGCAAGGAAAAGGCTTCTCTCAACAGGGGTGGCCTAGGCTTGCTGGCCATCGGTCTAGCTGTCGACTCAGTGAGAGAGCCCATCTTTAGGGAATAAGACAGATTAAGATCAGGACACAGAGTGTCTTCCTCTGTGTCCTTCCCAGCGTGTGAACAGGCACCCCCCCCCACACACATACACCATACTCATACACACACATGCCGGAGCACACAGAGAGAAGAAATAAAAGTACACACAAGAAAGGAAGACAATAAGATGAGTGGTCTTACCCTTTCCTGGCTGGGATCTTGGACACGTGAAACCACTTCTGTGAGCCCCCGGCTCCGCATCTGTTAAATGAGCATGCCTCTAGCACCCACTTTTGAGGTGACTCTGCAGTTCTTTAAACACAGCCAAGCCCCAGCTGTCACCCACCCTGTGCCCAGTGTTCAGTCTCCATCTCTGCCCCACATCGTGGTGGCCCCTTTCCCTGTAGCCCAGAGAGGTTAAGTCACACATCTCCAGTGACTCGTCCTACAGTCACTTCTTGAACCCTGGGCACACTGGGATCCAAGTCCGAGGAGCCAAACCCCAAACCGCCCCCTCGCTGTGCCGCTGTGCCTGACAGTCGTGTTTATATAAGGCGTTATCACTGTGTGACCCTGGGCGACTGTCTCAGTGCAGGATTGAGCTCCACGCCATCTGTCTCTTAAGCACTGTAGGGTTAGGCATCCAGTGGGGGCGCCTGACAGGAAAGGGGGAGACGCTCTGGGGGAGATTACCTAAGACCTGCAAAGAGCGATACCAGGCGCAGAGCTGTGCGTTGAAGGAAGCGCATAAGCTAAGACGGACGGAGGAGCAGGACCCGGCTAAGACTGGCAGACAGGCAGGACCAGGCTAAGACGGACAGGCGGGACCTGGCTAAGACGGACGGGCAGGCAGGACCTGGCTAAGACGGACGGGCAGGCAGGACCAGGCTAAGACTGACGGACAGGCAGGACCAGGCTAAGACGGACAGGCGGGACCTGGCTAAGACGGACGGGCAGGCAGGACCAGGCTAAGATGGACGGGCAGGCAGGACCAGGCTAAGATGACCGGGCAGGCAGGACCAGGCTAAGACGGACGGGCGGGACCTGGCTAAGACGGACGGGCGGGACCTGGCTAAGACGGACGGGCAGGCAGGACCAGGCTAAGACGGACGGGCGGGACCAGGCTAAGATGGACGGGCAGGCAGGACCAGGCTAAGATGGACGGGCAGGCAGGACCAGGCTAAGACTGACGGACAGGCAGGACCAGGCTAAGACGGACGGGCGGGACCAGGCTAAGACGGACGGGCGGGACCGCACATGCTCTGTTAGACTGCAAGACCAAAGACAGCCAACTGGCACCAACTGGAGGAAGGCCGTGGGAGGCCAGGAGCCCAGGGAGAACGGGACTTTCTCAGCATAACTGAGATCCTGCAGACGGAACGCAACCGCCAGGAAAGCCTTCTGCAAACCCCAACTTGAGTGAGGCCTCTGCAAAGTGCTCTCGAGGCTGCGAGAGCCCCAGCCCTCGCGCCCGGGTCCCTGGTAGCGTGGCTGGTACCCGCAGTACAAAATCAGCGCTAGGAGGAAACAGGAAGTGGCTCAGGATCACGCCAGGGCAGTTCCTGACAGTGGTTCTAGACGAGGTGCTGTTTACAGAGGAAAGTAACTCAGTGAGAACTGGGCATGCCCGTCATCCCCGCACTGACCTCCGCGCTGGGTCCCGGGGCTGCTGCAGCCTCTGTACACCGACCTCTGTGTATTCGCCACATCCATGCTGCCCACGGTGTCTGCCAAAGCCTTCCGTCCTCCCGCCCCTCCCCAGAGCATCCTGCCTCATCACCCTCATCCCAGGCCTACTCCTTCCTCCCCACAGCATCCTGTCTCATCACCCTCATCCCAGGCTGTCCTCCCTTCAGCTGCTGGCCACTTCCTGCTCTAGCTTGCCAGTTCCAAGCCCCCACACACGTGTGTGTGCATGGCACCCGACTGGTTCATCTCCTCGGTCCCCTAGAAATGTAAATGTGAGCCCAAACTGTCCCTTTTCTATCCAGAACATTCCCCTGGGGCTCCCCGGTGTCCTGGACCCAGCATCAGAATAAGCACAGCTTTTAGAGTCCCGAGTCCTGAATGTAGTAGGTCTCTTCAAATCCTCAGACAGACACTGGTCATTATCAAGGATCCCACAGGCGTTCTAACCACGGAACTCACAGAGTGCTGTCATCCCGTTTTTCAGGAGGCTGAAGCAGAAGGATCACTAAATCTGAGGCCAGCCTGGGCTGCATAGTGAGACTAAGAAACAAAGACTGAGGACAGGGCTCAATTATAGAGCCCCTGCCTAGAATCCCCCAGTGAGGGGCTGGGGGCGTGGCTCAGTGGTAGAGCCCCTGCCTAGAATCCCCCAGTGAGGGGCTGGGGTGTGGCTCAGTGGTAGAACCCCTGCCTAGAATCCCCCAGTGAGGGGCTGGGGTGTGACTCAGTGGTAGAGCCCCTGCCTAGAATCCCCCAGTGAGGGGCTGGGGTGTGACTCAGTGGTAGAGCCCCTGCCTAGAATCCCCCAGTGAGGGGCTGGGGTGTGACTCAGTGGTAGAGCCCCTGCCTAGAATCCCCCAGTGAGGGGCTGGGGTGTGACTCAGTGGTAGAGCCCCTGCCTAGAATCCCCCAATGAGGGGCTGGGGTGTGGCTCAGCTGTAGAGCCCCTGCCCAGCATATATGAGAGCCTAGCTTTGAGCCTCACTATTTCAGGGGTAGAAGGAAAAAGAAAAAGAGCCAGAGCGACCTCCATCACTACCTTATGGAGAGACCCTACCCTGCCAAGGACGCTCCTGAGGTTGGTCGGCCACGGGCACCAGCTCTGACACACACCTGTGCTGACGCTCTGCCCCATCTTTGCCCGCCAGGCGTGCGTGCCCGCCCTCCCTCTCTCCCTCCCTCCCCCCCACCCCTGATCATCTTTTGACTCGCACATGGCTCCTTCTAATTCCAGGCCCCCAGTGACACTTCCACGGCCATCGTGGCTGCATAAACGCCAGCAGCGCCCGGCCGCTGCAGAGGGTCTGGGGACCACACATCACTCACTTCACCCCGTGCTTTGCACCCCTTGAGGCCACGCCACAGTTAAACAGGACAGAGCTGTCACCCCTACACCTTTCCCAGCCCCTCCCAGAGCACAGCAAGCTGCCCGGGGATGCGGGAGCACGCTCCTCCGCTTCCCTTTGCGGTCAACCCCAGCACCGTCCGTCCGTCCGTCCGTGCAGGGATTCTCTCCTCTCTCCTCCCATAGGCCCTCACCCTTCCCCTCCGGCCACCTCCCCGAGAGGCCAGGCTCTGCCACCCCCCTGACCACTCTATGAGGAGAAGGGGAGCCTGGGTTCACACAGTGGACCAAGGCTTGCCTGGAATCCGAGTCCAGACACCCGTGCTCGTCACCGGGGCCGCATGTTTACTGCTCCCCACCTACTGTCTGTTAAGTCATCATTGGCCGCAGCCATCATCTCCATTTCAGAGGAAACCGACGCCCGTAGAGGATACGGCATGTCTAGGGCCACACAGCTAAAAACAAAAAACGCCCAGGACTAAACTCAGCTAGCCTGGCTCACAGAAGACAGCCAGGATTGGGGGGCCGGGGGGACCGCCCCGACCGGCGTCTCCATCTAGTCCCCAAGTACACACAGGGTAGCAAGAGAGGCCGGCTTCCAGTGTGGGTGTCTAGGCCACCCCTCGGCTGGCTTTTCTGCCTCTCTCCTCTCTACCCATTCAGGTCAAGTCCAAAGTCCCCCTTTCGCTCTTCTGTCCACAATGCGGGGAGGCAGAAGGAACGCTCGCAATGGTGGGGGGTGGGAGTTTGGGATCCTTGGGTTCCTGGGTCCTCACAGCGACTGACCTCTTCCAGAACACCTCTGGGTTACGACACATGCCTCATGCCCCGAGCCCCAAGTTATTGACTGTGTGTTCCACGATCCCAACAACCTGGTGGAGGGAGTTATTATCATCTGTCCGTGCTTGACTGTGGGGTGTATGAAGCCCAGAGGTGCGATGCTACCTGCCCAAGACCACGCCGCACAGACCAACAGAATCACCCTGGCCGACTCTCCACCCTTAACCGAGACGGCAAGCAGCAGCAGCAGCACCCCCACCAGCAAACCCCCACCTCAGTTCCCAGGAGACGACACATGTCCTTGGTTAGCTGAGAAATCCCTGGGACGTGAGGGGAAACTAAGGCACCCGGACTGTCGTCTGGGGGTGGCAGGGAGAGACAGCTAACACGGAAGGTTGGCTAATAGTTAATCGGATGGACACGGACTCTGGGTGGGGTGGTCTTGAGTCTGACTGGAGGACCCCAAGACAGGAGGCAGGGTACAGGCTAGGAGACAGACCAGAAGATGGTGCTAGATAGGGCTGAAGTTGGGGTCCAGGGACGGGAGGGGGGGACTCACCCTCCTTCTTCGCCATGTCAGGGACTCTTGTTAATGATTCCCAGGTTGACCTGTTGGGCTGGGGCGGAACCTAGGGACAGGAACAAGGAGGCACGGCCTGGGGGAGCCTGGCTTGGCTCTGTCCTGGCACCCCCAGTCCCAGGGAGCAGCTGGCCCTGAGTTGGGGACAGGGCCTGAGAGGGCATAAGTTTTGCTGGGGTCAGTGGTGGCAATGTGTGAGCAGCCACCAGGGGGACACCTGGAGTGGCGAGGCAGAGTCTGGTTGGCCCGAGGCTGAACTTCCAGGGGGGACTGGAGGGCTTTGAGGCAAGAACTCTGGGGAGTCCTCGGATGTCTGAGCTTGCGGGGAAAGCAGGCTGGAGGTGGTCTGCGGTTCCTGGGGTCCCTTGTACGGGCCGGCGGGCAGCGAGCAGATTGGTGGGGGACAAGGGGCTCCGAATTCTGTGCCTTACCCTGGGGTCCGCCGGAGATGGCGCAGGTTTGGGGTTAGTCTCCAGGCCTGGGTAGGGGCATGGCGTCCCCACAGCCGCGGGCAGCGCGGGAGGCAGGCAGGGGTGGCAGCGGCAGCCAGCAGCCAGCAGCGTGGGGCCTGCCGAGCCTGCAGCCTCACCTGAGGAGGAGGGGGCTGGGTGGGAGGCGGAGACGGGGCGGGGAAGGGCGGACCCCAGGACTGGCCGCCACAGAGGCCACCTGGCTAATGGGGCGGGGCCTGCAGGGGTTGAGCCGGGTAGGCTCGGACACCAGCCTGCGCTCCCACCTCCAGGGGCACTCAGGTGTGTCCGGTGACAAACTGGGGTTGCTCAGAGCCCCGAAGGATGGGATTCCTCCAAAGTGGAGGAATGAGCCGCTGCAGAGTTCCGGCTTCCCCAGGTCCACCACGCTTGTGGCCATGAAGCCCTCCATTCGCGTGGACTTCCATGCCGGTCCCCTTCCCTCCTCTGATCCAGTCCATGCTGCCAGGGGCCTCCAGGCCTTCCTGTCCCTAGCGGGGCTCGGCCCCTCCCCCAGCCACTTTCCTACAAGTCACGGGGGCTGGTTTGTTTTGGCAGCGGCTGTGCTGCCTGCCCAGTGACCTCTGGAGCCCGGAAAGTCCTGACAGGGGGATGGGGGCCTTGGCCCTGAAAACCCAACGCTGACTGCCCAGGCCCAGGCCAAGTGGACGGAAGTGCCTAGACCCAAGAGCATCCAGTCCCCACAGCAGCCAATGTGCGTCAGACCCCAGAGCGGGAGCCAGATAAACACCAGACAACCCAGGAGGCTGTCTACACCTGCCCAGTGGCCCTGGCCAGCATTTGAGTCCCAACAACTGCGGCCACACAGCAGGCCACCTCTCCAGCCACAGACCAAGCCTGTCACAGGCAGGGGCCAAATGGTTCTGCCTGGCCAATGGGGCTTGAGTCTTGTCTTCCTCATTGGCCTCCTTCATCCTTCTGGAAGTCTCTGTCCCAATCTCTTGGCTTCCGTGTGTCTCTCTCTCTCTCTCTCTGCCTCTGCCTCTGTCCACTCACCGAGCTGCCTCTCCCTCTCCCCAAAACGTACAGTTATCACAGCACAGCAGACCTCACAAAGATCCTAGTGTCCAGTTGCCTGTCCGTCCCCGAAGATCCCAAAGTCTCCTTCTGGACACTTGGTCCTGACTCTTAATCATTGAAACAATGACTCCCAGAGTCACAGCGTCGTCGTTAACCAAGCTCTGAGCACTTCATCAGCCCCTGGTGTTACCCTTAACCGCGGCGGCACAGGCCCTGACGCTTGCTGAGAAGGAGGATTCCCACGAGAGACAAGGAGGATTCCCACGAGAGGCGCTCCAAGACTTTGGGCCTGGGGCTGGGGACGGGGGGGACGGGGTGGGGCTGAGGATGCTAAATGAGAGAGAAGAGACTTGAGTCCAAGAATCTTTATTTCATGAACAAAAACTACGTCTGTAAAGAGAGAGGAGGCCGAAGAGGCCCTTCCCAGGAGACCACAATTGGAGGCTGGTGAGAGAGGGCGGGTGGGCCGGGGCTAGGAGGTGTCACAGAGAAGGGGACCCCAGGTCCAGCCGGAGGAAGCGGAGGGCAGAGGAGGCCCCAGAGCCCCCTGCCCGCGACTGTTCCTGTCCCGACCCCTCTTGACCCCCGTCAAGCAGGGCTGGGGCCGGCTGGCCTGGCAGTGCATTTGGGAAGTGGCCTATGTGCAAATCAGCAAAAAAAAAAAAAAAAAAAGTGGGTGGGGCCTGCCCCCTCCCCCCCGCCGCCCCCTCCCCCAAAGACAGGCAGCAAAAGCAGGGTGGGGCGGCCATATTGCTTCACCCATCATGCATGGCGGTGGAGGGTGGGCAGGAGGCGGTGGGTGAGGTGGGATCAGTCCCCGCCCGCTCCCACCCGGGTGGCTCCTCTGCAGGACCATGAGGTTGGGGAGACCGCTGGGCCCGACTCCCACTGCCGGCGGAGGGCCCGACCCCCCCCCCCAGCTGCCGGGAAGGATGCCCATCAGGGGCTGATTCCCCACTGCCGAGGGGGGGGGGGGGTGGCGGCGAGGGCACCCGTCGGGGCTGGCTCTTCCTTGAGGTGAAGTCCAGGGCCTGCAGGGTGAGACGCAGAGACTCGGAGAGCAGGTCCCCGACCCCTCCAGGACGGCCATGCCCAGGTCACTCCATCCATCCTCCTTACCAGCGCTATTCTGCCACCTGGACGCCTGTACAGTTCTCTTTGCTCTCGGACGTGATGGCCAGGTATTCCGAGCTGTTCAGAGAAAGCGAGGCACACAGTGACCCCTGGAGCCAGTATCCCTGACATCTCAGACCTGCAGGGATGCTGACACTGGACAGAAGGCCAGGGGGTGGGCTGGGTGGGGCCCCTCTCCCCTTCCCCCTCCCCGAGTGTGAGTGAGGGGCCTCTCTGTAACCATGGGGCACCTCTGTGATATTCAGGGATCTGTGGAGGCTACCAAAAGACTTGGGTTGGGTTCGAATCCTGACTTTACTGCCTGGTGTGTCCCCGTCCCCCCCTTCCCCCGTGTTTCCAGTTTTCCTCATCTGCGAGCAGCGGCTCCGTTGGTCTCTGGCTCTGAGTGACAGATGCCCACCCCAGCAGCCCCACTCACGCATTCTCCTGCGCAGCGGCTTCCGTGGCAGCAGCAACCTTCTTGTAGCAGTACACCATCTCCGCCACGAGCCAAATGGTCAACACCACGATGAGCACGTACATCATGATCTCCGACACGATGGACGCCATGTCTCTGTTGGCTGCAGGGGCCGGGCAGGGTATTTTAGGGGGCAAAACAACCCCAGGGTGTGGGCCGCTTGCTGCATAAGCTCGGGCGAGCGGTTCTGAGCCTCTCTGAGCCCGGGGCCGCGAGCTAGGGGGTAATGGTGTTGGTTTCTAGAGGCATCACAGTTACTTTGCCAGTGACAAGGTGCTCCGGCGGGCCTGGGGATAGTGTCAACCAGCCTCCCCGTGGCATTTGTGACAATCTGGAGGGTGCACACTGTGCCAACAGACTGTGACTCTGCCAATCAAAAGCCCTGGGGTTCAGATCTCAACTCTGCCGGCTGTGTGACCTTGAAAAAGTGACTAAGCCTCTCTGGGCCTCTGTTACCTCCAACAGCAAACAAACAAAAGACCAGTTCCTTAGGGACAGTGTTCAGCCTGTCAACGAGTCTCAGTGGGTGTTCTTATTACTGTTGTAATTGGGGCCACTCTGGGTCTATTGTTGGGTTGGAACTGGCTTTGCTTCTCTCTCTCTCTCTCTCTCTCTCTCTCTCTCTCTCTCTCTCTCTCTCTCTCTCTCTCTCTCTCTCTCTCTCTCTCTCGTTGAAAACAGGGTTTCTCTGCACAGCCCTGGCTGTCCTGGAACTCGCTCTGTAGACCAGGCTGGCCTCAGACTCACAGAGATCCGCCTGCCTCTGCCTCCCATGCGCTGGGATTAAAGGCGTGCGCCACCAACGCCCGGCTGCCACCACCCCGCTCTGGCTTTGCTCTGTATTAGCTGAGTAGCCTCAGGCAAATGACTCCCCTCTCGGTGCCCCTCTGTCAGAGGAGCACAGAAACACTCGAGAGTTGCTGGGCAGAGGCAACAGAAGAGCGTGGAGCAAGCAGGAGGGCCAGCGGCCAGCGCTGCTCGGAACTGGCTGTTTGCGGGAAAAGCCTCCCGCTTTCCGCCTGCCTCTCCAGCCTCCTTTCACAGAGCCTAAATTTAAACTGTAAAGGGAGCGTGTCCAGCCAGGGGGCTGGAAGGGAAAGACACTTTGGCACATGTCCTTCACCGGATTGGCTGGTGTCCACCCCACATCCCTGGCCCCCTTGGTAGCCCGGATCTCATTCCTCCCCACCACCCCCGCCCCGTCCCTCCCCACCCCTGCTGGTCCGTGGGGTCTACCTCTCCTTCAAGACTTATGCTTGCCACCATGCCTGGACATTGCTGCTGTTTCTGGATCCGATGGAAGGGGGGGCAGGGTGCAGGACTGGATGCTCCCCCGCATGTTCGTTCATTCATTCATTCATTCATTCATCAGGCATTACCCATGCCGTGAGTGACCCCTCTCTACCTGGCTCTGCTAAATTCTCTTTGTTTGAGACAGGGACTTCCTATGTAGCCCAAGCCAGCCTTGAACTCATAACCCTCATGCCTCTGCACTCCAAATGCTGAGAGTTAAGGCATGCCTTGACCACATTCCATTTGGTTGTCTTTTTTTTTTTTTTTTTTTTTTTTTAATCTGCAGCCGATTTTCCCCAGGCAAGGACTCCAAGGCCCAGAGACAGCTTGGTGCTGAGCCAGAGACGCACAGCTAAGATGGGCTCAGAGCTGGGGCTCGGCCCCAGGCATAACTAACTGTTCAGAGTGCACAGTCCTGTCCCGTAGCCAAGCTGGTGAATATCCAGGCTGTCTTCAAGTCATGGGGGACCTCAGGAGGAGAAACCTCGGGGGTTCTCACATTAACAGGTGAGCCGAAGCAGAGCCAATCTGGTCACACGGAGGGACGGTGGCTCCTTGAACAGCCCCGTCTTTCCCGAGGACTGAACCCAGGCAGAGCCTTACACTTGCTGGGCCAGAGAGCTCTACCACTGAGCCACGGCTCCTGTTTCTTCATTCTGTGATGGGGGTCTTGCCATGTTTTCCCCAGGCTAGCCTTGAACTCTCCCTTATGTTTTTGGCTGTGAGCCTAGCGTTTAACGGCTGAGCCATCCCTCCAGCCCCTGAACTCTCTCTACAGCCCAGGCTTCTCTCTCAGCCTCAGCAGGGATGCACCACGGGCCAGAGACACTGGGAATCCTCTGACACTGTGGGTTCACACAGCAGCCCTTCTGTGGGCCAGAGTCCTTGGCTGCTCTGAGGGTCAGATCCTCCCCAGGGTGTTACTGTGTCCCCTGTGGTGCCCGGCTGCAGCCTGACACCTTCCACACCCTTCACCCATCCCTCTGTGTTTGGATGTGACTCCGAGTGTGTTTAGGGAGCTACCAATGGGTGATGCCAGGAACACAGCCAAGATGGAGTGAGAATAACAACCAGACCCGGCAGGAGCCAGGCGAGGTGGCCCACACCTCTAGTCCCCGCACCTGGGAGGCCGAGGCAGGAGTCTCGACCCAGCCTGGGCTACAGAGGGTGGGGCTGCATCAAAAATCCTAAAGTAGGGGCTGGAGAGATGGCTCAGAGGTTAAGAGCACTGGTTGCTCTTCCAGAGGTCTTGAGTTCAATTCCCAGCAACCACATGGTAGCTGACAACCATCTACAATATTCAATCTGGTGTATATGTAATAAATAAATAAAATCTTTTAAAAAAAATCCTAAAGTAGGCACTCAGCTTGCAGAGTGCGTGCCTAGCCTCCGGGAAACCTTGGGTTTGCATCCCAACACTCAATAAAACCGGCGAAGTGGCACACATATGTTATCCCAGCACGTGGGAGGTACAGGAAGGAGTTCAAGGTCACCCTTGGCTATATGGCAAGTTGGACAGTAGCCTGGGTAACATGAGACCTGTCTTTAAAAGCCCCAGAAGAATATAAATAAAAAAATAAAACATTAAAAAAAGGCCCTAGCATGGCCAGCCAAGGGTGGTGGCTCATGCCCTTAATCCCAGCGTTCTCGGGAGGCAGAGGCAGGCGGAGCTCTGAGTTCAAGGCCAGCCTGGTCTGCAGAGTGAGTTCCAGGGCGCCAGGGCTGATACACAGAGGAAAGAAACCCTGTGTCTGGGAAGACAGAACAACTCTTGAGGTTAGCCTGGGCTACGTAATGGATAACGTGTCTCAAAATAGGCACGTAAGTAAGTAAATACCAAAAAGATAATACAATATACGGTGGCCGCTGAGATGGCTCGGCAGGGTTAGGACTTGCTGCCAAGCCTGGCGACCTGAGTTTGATCCTTAGGGTCCACATGGTGGAAGGAGAGAGAACCGACTTCCTCGGGGTTGGCCTCTGACCTCCGCCTGTGCGCCACGCCACGCCCACGCCATTTGCCTCCCACAACAAAGAAATAAAAATATAATAAAAAAATTAAAAGCAGCAGGTACTGCGGTATGGCACGTAGAACATACTAGAACATGCTAGATTCTTCTGGAAACGTGAGCTCAACAGAAAGGGCTCTGCGTTCTGCAGTGCAGGCTCCCGAGAGTTATGACTGGCCCGTAGAGGGTCCAGCTTTACGGTGGGCGTGGCCTGAGCCAGGGCCCCGCCCTCCAGCTTCCCGAGCTCAGAAGCTGGGGTTTGTGAGGCCTGGCTCGCCCTGGCCTTGGCTCTACTGAACCTAGTCCACGCAGGCAAAACTCACTTTCTGGGCCCACCGCCCACTCCACACCCAGCACGGTGACGTCCCCGTGTCTCCCTCGGGTGCGCCTCTCACTTGCTTTCTGTACCGCGTTGATGAGAAGCATAAAAAAGCTAATTATAAAAAAAAAGATCCTGCAGACTCTGGCTGATGGAACACGGAGTGCACGCGAGAAGCCTTCTGGGCCTCGGGGGTTGTTAACCCAGGCAGGGGTGGGTTCCGATCCACAACCCAGTCAGGGGACAGAATCTCAGCTTCCCAAGCCTGGGCCTCGGGGGCGGGGAGGTCCACAAATTGGGGGTGGCGAAGCCCCTCCCCCAGATGCTGGTGGGAGGGTCCCGCAGGGGATATATATATTTTTTAAGAAGCCGGAAGGTCAAGGCGCCAAGTCAGGAAGATGTGATGTGCTCGCCAGCCCGCAGGCACCCACTTCCCAGAGTCCTTCACTGCCTCCAGGCTTGGAATAGCTTCTTGGCTTTCTAAGAAAATAGGACACGGAACTCTGGAAAATTCCAGTAGATGCTGATCAGAAGATGGTCTATCCCAGAGCAGTGGCGCACACCTTTAGCCCCAGCACTCGGGAGGCAGAAGCAGGCGGATCTCTGAGTTCAAGGCCAGCCTAGTCTACAGACTGAATTCTAGGTAGGACATTCAGTGCTACAGAGAGGAAACCCTGTCTCTAAAAACCAAAAAAAAAAAAAAAAAAAAAAAAAAAAAGGAGTTGGAGGGTAGCCTGGGCTACAAAACAAAACCCTGCCTCAAAACTAAAAAAAAACAAGATGGTTTCAGTCAGGAAGAGGCCCAAGGCAGCTAAATTCAAGACGCTGGCTCCTGGCAGAAACACCACAGACCTCTGCCACTCCCATTGTGATCGCTAATAAGGCCCCAGCCCCTCCCTGTGTGACCTCACCTGAGAGACACTCACAGTCACATACGATCACATACGATAATCCCTGGGGACAACCCTGGGGCTCAGAGAGAGGAAGACACCTGTCAGAGTGGGGGGAAAAGGCGGCTTGGACCTCCCAGGGGCTGAAGCCGTGAAGACTCCGGAGCCGGAAAGGGGGTGCCCCGGGGCTGCGGGCTGGTCCCCTGCCCGTCCGTCTTTCCATCTGTCCCTCCACTCACTCACCCTTGTCCACCACCTCCAAGTGGATCTTCTTGACGACGCTGGTATTGTGCTCGTAGTTGTCAAAGAAAAGAAGACGGTAGACGTGGCACTCGTAGTCTCCAGAGTGGTTGTAGGTGACGTTGGTGATGAAGATGGACAGGTCCTGCAGGTCCTTCGTGCCCCGGCTACCGTTCCACACCACGCGGCCCTCGAAGCGCTCATCCTCCTCCAGCTGCAGCACCTCATTCTCGTAGCGTAGGATCTTGGGGCGGTCGGCGAAGAGCGGGGTACACAAGTCACTGTCTTCCACAAATGTGACCCCCATGCCATCCCCCATCCTGACCCCTCCCGGGACAGATGATGCATGCATGGGAGCAGAATCCTTTGTTTTGTTCTTTTTTTGTGTGTGTGGTTCTGGTATTGTAACCTTTGCACATGCTAGGCAGGGCCTCTATCACTGAGCCACACCCCAGCCCCTCACTGGGGAATTCTAGGCAAGTACTCTACCACTGAGCCACACCCCCAGCCCCTCACTGGGGGATTCTAGGCAGGGGCTCTACCACTGAGCCACACCCCCAGCCCCTCACTGGGGGATTCTAGGCAGGGGCTCTACCACTGAGCCACACCCCCAGCCCCTCACTGGGGGATTCTAGGCAGGAGCTCTACCACTGAGCCACACCCCCAGCCCCTCACTGGGGGATTCTAGGCAAGGGCTCTATTGCTGAGCCCTGACCCCAGTTCCTCGCTGGTGGGTTTCAGGCAAGTGCTGTCACTAAGTTATGTCCCCAGCTCAGGCGTCTTGACTTTGGGCAGTGAGGGATCAAGGAGGTTGAGGTCTCACCTGGGGTAATGACAGCCCCTGGCTGTCCTAGCCCCGAGATACACACACACACACACACACACACACACACACACACACACACACTGTAAAGTTTTGCTCTCTGAGCTTGTTCTGTGACAGCCCAAGACATTGCGGCTGCTGCCACATAATCCCAGCGACGTTTCTTTCCCTGCCTGCCATATGCCAGCTGCGTCAACTCATTCAGCCCTCGTGCAAACCTAGGGGGTTGGAGCCAGCGAGATGGCGTAGCAGTGAAGGTGTTTGCCACCGCGCTGGTAGCGCGAGTTCCATCCTTAGGACCCATGTATGAGAGAATGGACTCCTACAAGTTGTGCTCTGACCCACACACACATGGCATGAAGCGCGCGCGCGCACACACACACACACACACAGGTAATTTTTTAAAATGTGGGGCAGAGACCATGGCCCCTCACTGTGACCCAAGCTCAGTGACTTGCCCAAGGGGATCCTTCGTCTGTGGAGTGGGGACTTAAATGCAGGTCACCATCACACTCCATCTTCATCCTTAGCAAAGCACACACACGAGCCAAGTGCATGCCTGTAATCCCAGCACCCGAGAAGCTGAGGCAGGAGGATTGCCAGGAGTGAGAGCCCAGACTGAGCTACTTAGCAATAGCACTTTAAAAGTAACACGGGGATAAAGCTAGCAAGCAAAACAGCCTTGAGATCCAGCGCTGCTGGTTCCATCTCCTGGATGCCAGCCCAGCCCAGGCACCCACACACACCTTGACAAATTCCTCTGTCCCCTTCTGGCGGAAGGTCCACTCCGTGAAGGTCTCTGCGCTGGTCTCACTGCGACGCTTACAGGAGATGCACAGAATCTTGAAGGTCATCCCATACACGGCCTCGGTCTCGGAGTCCACTTCCACGCAGCCCCCCCAGGCTGAGGACACTGCGGACACAGCGGGCGGGCTCGATTCAGGGAAGGCACCTGCCACCCTCGGCAACACCGGGCTCACTGCCCCAGAGAAACCATCTGTTTCCTTTCCACCATTTTTCACAAACGGCGGATGCCAAAACCATCCCTGACTCCCGCTCGCTGTGTGACCTTGGCAAGTCACCCATCCTCTGGGGGCCTCAGTTTCCCCCACCCCCTACCCCGTCTTCCCTTCCCCTGCCTGTTAGGTAGAATAGGCATCTTTGTTCCTAGTAGTTCCTAGGTAGACTATGCACTCTGGAGGCTCCCCGGGAAGCAGGGTGTCCTTGTGGTGGGTAACTCCACTGAAGTGCCCTGGTCCTCAAAAGCCAACAGCCTTCTACGCAGTGGCCCTAGCATTCCATGTCACCCTCACCCCGAAACTGGTCTGCAGAACCAGCCGTGGGTTGAGAGGAGGGCCCACTCCAGCCCTGCTGACTCTTCCCCCAACCTCTCTGTGATCAACTCCCTCCCGGTCGTCACCAGCCCGCCCTGTCCCCTTTTCCACGGACTCCCTCACTTCAAGACCTTCACCCCAAGTTAAAAGTTCTTTCCAGCCTGGGGGGAGTCTCGGCTTCACCCCTGAGTTCCAGGCCCTTGGGTCCCTCCTCCACCCTCCTGCCTCCACCACTCGCTGGCAGGTGAAGTCAAGTCTCGCATCCATCCCAGCTATGGGTCTTTTCCGAGTCCCCCAGCCTCCTTATCTCCTAGTGTCCAAGGGTTCCGATTCACCGGCCTTTTGCCTCAGTCTCCCCCATATCTATGCCTCCTAGGGGTGTCTGAAAATCCCAGCACTCTGCCTTCCAACCCTTTGCATGTCTTACCGTTACTATTACTGTTATTGTTTTAGACTCCCATCTGGCAGGCAATCTGCCCCCCCCCCCCCGGGGGCTGCCTCTCTGTCTCCGTGCCCTCTCTCCAGATCTTTCCACCTCTCTCAAGTTTCTCTGGCTCTGGCTCCAGCTAGGCTCTTAACTCTCTCGCTCCGATGTCCCTGTCTGCCTCAGTCTCTCGGTTTATTTCCACGTCCAGGGCATGCATGGAGTCTTCCCCGCGGTATACATCCCTCCGGGTTTGTCTCTCCGGGCCCCAGTTCCCGGGCGCCGCCTTCCCCCACCCCTCACGCGGCTGTGGGTGTCACATTGCAGCCTGCGGGGCTCGGCAAGCAGCTGACTCCGCGTCTTCTCGCCCCCGGCCCAGCGCCCGCAGACCCACCTCCGTGCCAAGTGTCTCCCCCACCCCACCCCCCGCGCCCCAACCTCCCCGAGAATCGCCTGCATCTCCAGGATCCTCCCGTGTCGTCCGGGGTCCCGCGACCCCAGCGACCTCACCCCGTGCACAACTTCCCAGGCAGGGACTTGTCGAGCTCGGGCCACGCGGGCCGGGGGTGTCCCGAGCACTGATGGCGCGTGTCCCCCAGCAACACTTACCCAGCGCCGCGCCCACCACGAGGGCCAGCAGCGTCCCCATGGCCGCGCAGGGCGGCGGGTGCGCAGAGCGCGGCGACAGGCGTTGGGGCCCGAAGGCGACTGGCCCGGGCGCGGGCGCGGCAGCTGCGGCTGGGGGGGCGCGCCCCCCCCGCTCCGGTTACCGCCGGGGGGCCCAGCCCCGGGGCCCGGAGAGCGGGCATCCCCGCCGCGCGGCGGGAGGCTCGGGATGCTGCGTGCGCTCGCGCCACAGGGCGCATCCAGGCTGCGGCGACCCCTGACTGGCTCCGGACTCAGCTCTGGAGCTCGCGGTCGGGCTCCTGGCGCTGGGGCGCGGACCGAGGGCTCCTGCGCACTGCAGCGGCGGCCCGGGAAGGAGGAGGGAGCCGGAGGAGGGAGGAGGGAGCGGGAGGGGGCGGGATGAATCACCGCGGGGGGAGGGCGCGGCTGGCTGCCCAGCCTTTGCCGCAGCGGCCCGGGAGGCGCCGGGCCACCGGCCTCTCCGGTGGCTCCGCGGCTTCTGCGCACCCGAGGAGTGGCCTGGGTCACTCCGACTTCTCCAGACTCTTTGGGATGGAAGAGGAACCCTTTCCTCTTTCTCTTCCGAGAAAGGTCATCTCTGGATACACAAGAGGACTTGGAGGACAGTTTGGGGGACCAGTTTCCGTTTCCCTAATTATGGAGGTCAACCTTATTGAGTTCTCGAGGAGACGGAGCTGGGACATCCGAGGGACCTACTTCTTACATCTGCGATCCCTCGGACTGGAGGTCACTGAGCCAGCACCTAAGGGGGCCTGGAGGGGTGAAGGGGGTCTGGCTAAGGCTACATAGAAACCTCCAAACTACATCCGAGTCGAAAGGGTACCTTGGTATCCCACCACTCTGGGGGTCGGAGGTGCCGGGTTTCAAAAGGGCCCTTCCCGCGATCCCCCGCTGCGACTCTGACGTCATCTTCCCAGGTCTCCGCCCACTCTACGGTCCTCCGGCTCCCCCCACCCCCAGCACACCAGCTCATCACCGCTTCGGGGCCTTTGCCCTACTTCCTGCCCAGACACCCCCCCCCCCCGCCCTTGCCTTCAATCCCCAGGTGATGGAAGCACTGGTTCCCTGTTCCCTGTTCGGAAGCACAGGGCTCCAATGTCACCTTCACAGCATTTTCTGTCATCTGCCTCCCTCCCTCCGTAGTTACTTGGCCATCTCGGTTCTTATGTACTTTTTTTTTCCCTTTGGTTTTTCGAGACAGGGTTTCTCTGTGGCTTTGGAGCCTGTCCTAGAACTCGCTCTGTAGACCAGGCTGGCCTCGAACTCACAGAGATCCGCCTGCCTCTGCCTCCCGAGTGCTGGGATTAAAGGCGTGCGCCACCAATGCCCGGCTCTTATTTACTTTTTTTTGTTTGTTATATTTTATTTACTCTGTGTGTGAGAGACCACACACCCATACCAAGGCATACATGGGAAGGCTGGAGGACCACTCGGGGGAGCTGGCCATCATCTTCACTGTGTGGGTCCAGCGTGTTGAACTTAGGTCTTTAGGCCCGACGGCCAAGCACCCTTACCGCTAAGCCCACTTTGTCTTTTGGAGACAGGATCTCAGTATGTAGCCCAGGTTAGCCTCTACCTGGTGGTCCTCCTGCTTCAGTATGCACCACCACAGCGTGTTTGTATTCTTTTATACGATTAGTATGTTTGCTGCCTGGGCCTTGGGATACTGTCCTGTGTCCCAACTGGTCCCCAGCACTTTGACCTCTCTGCTTGGCCCATTATAGGGCTCTGAGCCACCTGAACCACGGTGGAGGGGTTCTTGGCAGAGGGTGACCCACCCTGTCCTAGCTTCCTGTTTGGAGAAGCCAGACCAGGACCGGAGTGGCAAGTGGCCAGGGACACCAGACACCTTTGTGGTCTCGGCTGTTGCACCAGCGCCTCCTGAGCTGTGAAATTCCTTGTGCAGAAAATAAACCTTCCGCAGTTCCAGTGGCCCTGGTGGGGGCTGGGAGGAAGCAGCGCAGGGAGGAGGGGCTTTAGTAGCGGGCAGGGGTCACCTCCTCACAGCCTCACAAGACCCATTGTGGTGGAGACAGCAGCCTTTCACTCTAACACGAACCTAATTCTTACTCCAAGGTGTTGTCCTTCCGCCCCAATTCGCAGGTGTGAGAAGGGGGCTTCAGCGCGGGGAGCAGCCGATCACACAGCCGCGGGCCGGCTCCGCGCCTTACTGCCCGCATCCAATCCTTCCACCCCACAACCCTGCGTGGGACCTTCCAAAGATCCTTCTAGATTGACGGACTTCCATCCCTTCGGCCTCCGCCCAGGGTTTGGAGGGGGACGCGGCTGGGTTCTACCAGCAGCTGGTTGAGAACGTTTGCTCTTCTTGCAGAAGACCCAGGTTCGAGTCCCAGCACTCACACGATGGCTTGTAACCACCCAGAACTTGAGTTCTAAGGGGATTCAGTGCCCTACTTTGACCTCTGAGGACACAGTACGTCCATATGTGCAGGCAAAAACAAAAACAAAACACGAATGTACACACATTAAAAAATAAGTAACAAATCTAAAACAAAAAGTTACATGTGGAGATGTCACCGGGTGGGGGGCGCCTAGAATCTGCCTCAGCGGCACCTTGAGGAGTAAGAGAATGAAGTGAATAGCAGAGCTTGGTCCTCACATGATGCTCTCCACACGAGTTTCATTTCCCCTTCTGTCTCTTCTGTGGGGAACAGAATGAGCTTTGGCTTACTCTGTGCCAAGTTCCCTTACCAGCCACATTCTGAGCCTGGTGGTGCAGGCCCGTCACCCCCGCTCCTCCTCAGGGGACTGAGGTGGGAACACAAGTTCTAGGTCCTACTAGGGCTTTATTGGGTGAGTTCAAGGCCAGCAGGCGACCTAGTGAGACCCCCCCTCACGGAAGAAAAGAAATTAGAGGTCTAAATATTAAATCTGATTAAGGGTGGCTCACGCATTCGATCCCAGCCCTGGAGAGGTAGAGGCAGGCGCGTCCCGGTGAGTGAGTTCAAGGTCTACCTGGTCTATGTGATAGCCGTGGCTTCACAGCGGAACCCCATCTCAAAACAGATAAATAATTTCAAATTAAAAAGATAGTTAAAATGTGGAGACTGGGGCTGGAGGTCTGTGGTGGAGAGCTTGCCGGGCAAATGCGGGGGCCTTAGGTCCAATCCCCAGTACCCCAAAGGACACACGCATCGACTTCAAACCTCTTCGTAGATCTCAACTCTGGTCCCTCCCTTTAAGGGGCTGCTAGGCATGTAGGTGACCTGGGGAAGTGGCTTTGCGATTGAATACGGCATCAGGTGACAGGGACAGGACCCTAGTACCTGCACTATGGACAGTGAGTGGGAAGCCCCCATCGGGTCTACAGGCACAGCCACAGCCATTTCCAACCCTTTATTGAGGTTGTTATCCCCAAATAAATATAATACATTAAACCCAGAGATGAGGGTCTCGTGCACCCCAAAAGGTGCCCCCCACAACCCCAGCTGGGCAAAATAAGTTAGTTGGGGGAGGAGCCTGCCAAAGGTCAGGCCAGCTTCCTGGCCGAGCGGGCAGCGGCAGCTGGACAGCGCGCACACACAGATCTAAAGTGCTTCTCGTGTCTACGGCACCCAGGTCTGCGCAGCTCCTGGCGGGGCCACTGGGAGGGGTGGGCAGGAACCTCCCGGCGGCGTTCAACACCGTGCCAGCAGTGGCTGCCAGGGTTCCGTGTGTCCTTCCGTCCACTTGGGGGGGGGTTACGGCTTCTCAACCAGGAGTCCTCCTCAGGGGAAGCTGTCCTCAGGCTGTGGCTGAGTGTTCAGAGGAGGGTCCGGGATGGTAATTCCTTGATGTAACTTCTCCAAGGAGAACTTCATCTGCCGGAAGGGATGGGGGAGGCAGGATGAACTTACAGTCTAACGCTGTCTTGCACAGCCGTTTCTCAAAGTGCAATCCGAGGACCCAGGTGGTCTCGGTTTAAACCCTGACTCTACTGTCACTAACACCGGGCAAATTCCTTCATTGCCATGGGCTAACTTTTCTTTGCCTGAAGTATGAGTGAATAACGTCCCAGACAGCTTTATAGGATTACATCAGAGGTTTGAGGGTGCTAGAGTTTACCCAGTGACATTCACCAAGTACCTAGGGCTGAACCAAAGGATGCCACACACGCCTCCTACACCTCGTCCATTTACAAAAGGACGTCAAGATGCTGCTTCTATCTTAAATCTGAACCTGACTCCCACAGGCTGGCGTGCTGAAAGGTCTCCACCAGAGGGCGCTGCTGTGGAAGGCTGCGGAGCCTTCAGAAGTAGGGCCTAACTGTTCTTACTCAGGTTACTAGGGGAGGCCACTGAGAGTCAAACCCAAGCCCTAATCCCACTTCCTGGTCTGTTGCTCTCATGTTCCCAGGACACTCCCCCCATGACTGACAGCACATCTTGAGCTTAATAAACATTTCCTCCTTTTATGGTCTGACTGTGAAGTGTCCCTCACCCTGGGCTCAAGTCCTCGAACACTTAATCCGCAGCTGGTCTGGAGGCTAGCTGGTGGGCCTCGGCCACTAGGGATGCGCCTTGTGGATTACAGCCTGGCTTTCTTCCTTCCTTCCGGGCCCCGTTTCATCTCTATTTCCTGATCCCTACACCTAACCTGAGCAGGAACCAAGCTAGCGACGTGGACGGAGCCTCCCGGCCACAGTCTAAAAACCACGAGACAAAACAAGGCTTCCCCCAGTTGCTAAGTGTTGCCAGGTTGGGGAAGAGAAATCAACCAGTTCACCTTGTGTCTGCCACACACAAACGCCGGTCACGGAGAAAGTGACTTCCTGCTGCAGGGCTGGCTACAGGACGGGTCACTTCAGGCTGGTGGCAGCAGCCGTGCTAATGGCTCTTGCTCTCATTAGCGTCTGACCGTGAGTTGGTACTCTCAGAAATTTAGTCAAGCACTCTACCATTAAGCCACGCCCCCAGCCCCTCACTGGGGGATTCTAGGCAGGGGCTCTACCATTAAGCCACACCCCCAGCCCCTCACTGGGGGATTCTAGGCAGGGGCTCTACCACTGAGCCACACCCCAGCCCCTCACTGGGGGATTCTAGGCAGGGGCTCTACCACTGAGCCATACCCCCAGCCCCTCACTGGGGGGGTTCTAGGCAGGGCCTCTACCACTGAGTCACACCCCCAGCCCCTCACTGGGGGATTCTAGGCAGAGGCTCCACCACTGAGTCATGCCTCCAGCCTCATTAAACAGTATTTCTATCAATCCCTTGAGTTCAGGTCTGATGCCCTCAGGAACCAGACAGAGCCAGCCTTCTCCCCGTGTTTTCCTCTTCCTATCGTGGGCATCCACCCTGGTACCTCAAGTTTTCCTCAGTCTT